GATCTGATGCAGTCTATGCAAATAGAAAAGATTAGATATACAGTTTGCGGTGATACTGAAAAATTTGACACTATCTGGCAACCATTCCTCTTACACTTTAAAAATAAAAATAATAAATAAATAAACATGTATATATGTATGTGTATTTGTATGCAAGTATATAACTGACTTATCTTCCCTACCCCTGGCTTGGTTATGAGTGGAGAGTGTGTTTTTTTATTTATTTATTTTATTTTTTGTTTTTATATATATATTTTATTATTATTTTATTTTCTACTGCTGTACCCTTTGAGTATTTGTATTTATATATTCTCGGCACTGTTGTTGTTGTTGTTGTTGTTTTTTGTTTTGTTTTTTTCCTTAATGCATGAATATGTAACTATATTTTATTCAGAGAGAAAGAAAACGTGAGCAAAATTGTATTCTACCACCACATTGGATCAGTTGATGTCTAATGATTCTGTGTATCTGATGCTGTGGCTCTCTGACTAACATATTTCAATAAAAACAGAGTTAAACTAGAATTACATCCATCATATTGTAATATTGTAATGCGTTTCAATAGTCTCAACTTGTATACAACAGTTCAAACAAACATCATGTTTGATGTTCATTATGTTTGGAAGGTGTCATGCCCTATTAACCCCAGCCATAATCCATCCTGGGCTTTTTCCATTTAGCAGTTCAGTGGCCAGCAATGACACAAGTATGCGCTATTAAAAAAATAATGTCTTATAACTGGAAAAATGACTTGAAATTAGAGTTAAGAAACATCTTGTGTATAATGTTCTTTAAGTGAGATGAAGTCTTTATTTTGGAATGAATGTATGGTCCTGCAGAGAGAGACATCTTCCAGAAGTGGCTGCGAAAACAACCCTCAATTACAGTTTGTGCTTAAAAGAGAGAAAACAAATCTGACTGTTGTCCATGTATGTGTGCGCTTGTGTGTGCACATGTGTGTGTCCGCATGACTTTCATCTCTCTCTGGCCCCGCTGTACTTCTGGACAGATGCCACAAACTGGCCAATTAGCCCAGATCCTGAGCTCTACAGCGAGGGCTTCTCTTAAAAAATGATTGTGGCTTCATAGAGCAGCCCAGGGCCAATCTTCTGCCTCTAAGCAAACCAAAACGTCTTTAACAAGCTTCTACGCTCGGAGAGAACTTTGCAGATTTGTGTCCAGTCATTTATGTGCTCTACTGAGTAATAGGAGGTTTTTTTGGCCTCTCGTTTGCCACATTTATGAGGTCTTGTGTTTTTGGGAAGCTATCAAATGTTAAGCACTTTCGTATAAGGAATTTCTCATGCTTTCTTACAGGAGATTAGCGAAAACTCAACACTGAAATAAATGATTCATTGTATTTACCACATTAGTTTAAACAAAGGGGTTGCAAACTTGAAATTGATATCTTAAACACAACCCAGGCTCATTCTGAAAACGTAGTCCAGCGGACGTTTCTGCAGACCGCGAAATATGTCCCGGGAGGTACGTATTTGTGCAGTTTTTGTTTTCGCGAATTCGCAAGAGGCCGCTGTGCGCGCTTTTTTGTATCTTGAACGTCTCTAGTGAGTGCCGTTCGCGCCTGCGCTGTTCTCGCGTCAACCCACCAGAGGCCGCTGTCTGACTGACCGAATGATTGACCGCGCGACCGGCCAATCGGCTGACCCACCCTCCTTCTTCCCTGAACCCAACCAGTTTTACCGATTGGCCTGCCCGCTCACTTCCCTAAACCCGAGCAACAATTTAGAAAAGCCGTCTAGAAAAAGAAAAACCCTCATCTGTTTTTCAGATTTCACCGCGTTCTCACCCTGTTATGAACTCGTTCGCTTTATTTTTTGGATTCTATTTTTGTCTTACCTGGTTTCTGGAACTGCTTATTCTCTGGAATCGAACACGGATTCCTTTATCAACTCCTCCTCTCTGCATCTGAAGTCCGCCAACGCACACGATGAGCTGACCAGACAAACTGACTGCAGCGGGAAAGCCCTCCACACGGAGGTAAGCGGTCAGCCAGCAAGCGTGAAAGGGAACGGCATCACACCGCCCTGTAGCATTCGCTTAAAAAAATGAAATGCAGCCATACGTACCTCCCGGGATGTATTTCGCGGTCTCCAGAAACGTCCGCTGGACTACGTTTTCAGAATGAGCCTGGGTTGCTTAAACAAAGCTTTCAGCAAGGTTTAATTTGGGTGCAGTACCACACACGACCACCAGATGGTATTCAGTTTCCGTTGGTGACCATAAAAGGGTCGTCCCCTATTCCTCTGTATGCTTGAGCGATATGAATCATATTTTTTTATACTTTTCACAATATTTGTGAAGTAGATCTCAAATTCTAAAGTATGGACCGTTTATTTGATATTTGATTCGAGTTTAGCCTCTAAAGACATTTTTAAAACTGTGGCAATGTTTGTTAAAGTTTTGTCCATAATATTTAAAACATGTTTACGCCATTGTTTTCTAATATATAAAAGTTATCTTTGGTAACAGTTTTTTTTTGTGATTTTAGATGTGGATTGCTGTAGCAAAGTAATCCTTTACAACTCCTTGTCACAACTGAATAAATAACTGTTGCTCAATAATATCAATGTAAAATCAGTCCCAGGAAATAAAAAGAAGAAAACGAAGGCTTTAAAATGATATTGATTTATGTAATGATTGAATATTAATGATTTCTTTATGTTTATACTACAATATTATGTCTTACAAATGTAAGCACAAATGGTCCCACATGTTATTAAATTATTAATATATGCTGTTTAGGCCAAATTTAATAAAATCAGAATCACAACAGCCCTAGTTTGTTTGTTTGTTTTAATCAGATTACTTGTCCAGTAGGGCAAGTAAAATGATCTTTCACTTGAACCTTAATGTTGGTTTAGTTTAGCATAAGTAGATTTTTTTTCAAACATGATAAAGCAGAGATTTCCAAATCGGAAATATTACCATAGTCTTGTTTATCTTTTTCTTCTAAATCTGAAACACCACTAACTGGACCTTTCGCTCCAAAACTGAAACAAAAACTCAATTTAAAATGTCACAGGTTGGCATTTCAACCTCGGTTGCTCACTATATTTTTGATCTTCCCAATAAAACAGAAAGCTTGATAAGTTATTTTCAGCACTTGCGCCACCGTTGGCTCGTTTCTAATTACCGCACTTTGAAATCAACAGCAAGATGCTAAAAAAGTGAATGGAAACAAATGTGTGATTCGGTTTCTCAAATGAGCCAAACGCACTCATCAAGGTCTCTTGCGTTTGGTCTCAGGGTATGAGATTGGCAGGGGCTGTGGAAGAGATTATTATTGTTATTACCATTATTATTTGTCATTCCTTGGGCTGCCAGGTTCTTGTATTTCCGTTTTCAGGTGTGTGAATGGCATTGTGTGTAATTGCAGCGCACGGGCAGACCTGTAAGGAGAGGTTTTGGCAGGGGAAATCAGTCTGCTGGAGACAGCATTCATCACAGATGCTGTTTACTCTGCTTCTCATGCTGGAATGTTGAAGCTGTGTCATCAGAATGGCAGCCAAGTGACTGATATGTTTTCGAGCAGACAAAATGTCATCAGTCTGTTTTAACGCAGCTCACTGTTGCTTTTCCCAGAAGTCGGCTCACAGCGTTAGCCAAGGTTTCTTGCACCAGAAAGTGAATTAACTCATTTCCTTGACTGTTTCCACCATCACTCCCTGATCATCAGAAGACAGTAGGGCGGGGCTTGCTACTGTACTATGTGTTAGAAAAGGGATGAAATAATAATAATAATAATAATAATAATAATAGTAAAAATATCAATAATAATAATAATAATAATAATAAAAATAATAACAATAATACTTTAAAAAAATATTTTCGTTGTTTATAATAATAATAATAATTATTATTATTAATAATAATAATAATTATAAACAGCTAAAATATTTAATAATAATAACAATAATAATAATAATTATTATTATTATTATTATTACTATCATTATCAATGTTTGACCTTTTATCAAATTTTAACCTCATAAATTAGTTTTTAATTAGTTTTAATGTTAATTTGATGAAAACCATATTTTTTAAATAAATATAATAATATAATATTAAATAATATTATTAATAATATTTTTTGACCTTTTATTTTTTGTTTGTCAAATTTTTAACCTTATAAAATAGATTTTACTGTAAATTGTTTAAATACAATATTTTTAAAGAACACAAATATAATAATGTAATATTAGATGTTTTTATTATTATTTTATTATTATCATCATTAATAATAATAATAATAATAATAATAATAATAATAACAAAATAATTTAATCTAATATTACATTATTATATTTGTGTTCTTTAAAAATAGGGTATTCAAACAATTTAACAGTAAAATCTATTTTATAAGGTCAAAAATTAGACAAACGAAAAATAAAAGGTCAAAAAAAATTATTAATAATAATATTTAATATTATATTATTATATTTATGTTTATTTAACAAATATGGTTTTCATCAAATTAACATTAAAACTAATTAAAAATTAATTTATGAGGTTAAAATTTGATAAAAGGTCAAATATTGATAATGATATTAATAGTAATAATAATAATAATAATAATAATTATTATTATTATTATTATTATTATTATTATTATTATTATTATTATTATTATTATTGCATAAAGTGTTTTATATAATTTTTTTTTCCCAGTGTACATGAAATGTATAGTTTACAGCCCAATGTTACTTCCACAGTCTGAACTGAAGTGGATTGTAAAAAATATTATTTATAAAATGTCATTACTTCATGTTGACTTTGACATTATGACAGGGACTAATAATAACCCATTTTTGTAGCTTAATTTCAATAAAAATGACTTTGAGGAGAAAGCTTGCATTATGACTACATACTCACAATATATAAAACCACAAGAAAAAAATCTAAAGCGGTGACTAGTGCAGCAGCAGATGTGTGACATTAGGTGTAAATCTCACATGGCCTGTGTTTTTGTCTTCCTACAGATCCGCTACATCTCTCAAACGCAGGGCTTGCCAGCAGAGTATCTGTTAAGTGCAGGGACGAAAACAACCAGGTTTTTCAACAGAGACCCCGACTCCACCTATCCTCTATGGAGACTGAAGGTAAATTCTGTCATGCTCTTTAACACTTCCTCAATCTGTCTTCGACTTGGTTTACATATGATATGCAGTATTGTTGTTGTTGTTTTTTCTCTCTAAACTAGAGATGCCAGATATTAATCAATAATCCTTTATAGGGCACTCATAGAATTTTTTTTTGGAAAAACGTAGAAGTTGCTAAAGATTATTTCAAGACTTTTGAACTTTTATGAGTTGTGATATTGATGATATGATATGATATAATATTATTTTTGTAATCAATGTCAATGAAGTTACCATATATGGTTCTTCGGCCAATGAAGCATGAATGATAATTAGTTTAGGGCAGTGGTTCTTAAACTTTTCAATCAAGTACCACCTCAGAAGAAAGTTGTCTCTCCAAGTACCACCATAATGACGAGGCAGATTAATTCCTATTATTATTGTCAGCCACTTCAAACATTATAAATAGTTTGAACATTAACACTAGTGTGCTTACAGGTAAAACATTTAAATAAATTAATAAAGTCAATATTTAAAGTGTGCTTTTAAAAGTGAAAATCGTAGGCTACTGTTCTTAAAGTAAAATTAAAACTGCTATAACTAAATGTAAAATATTAACAAATAGTAACCTATTTATTAAAACCTGGAAATGTTGCTTGGACTTCATAAACATTGGCTAAATGTCATCATATTCATACATAAAACCATTTGGATAAATTTTGAAATATGTTGCATGTACACATGACATATTTGTTTATCTTTGAAATCTAAACATTAACTTGTATTTTAAAATGAATAATTTGGAATTAGATATTTACATTAGAAATTAGATCCAGCTCGTTTTTTTACAGTCTGTGTGTCAGAAAAGTGAGCGATTACATTCATAAATACACTGCTTGACCAATTCACACGTGATTTATCCATTCATACGTGCAGCTTTAAGATCTCATCTTAAGTGGACCGCAGTTTGTGTTAACCGCATACAGAGACTAACTTTAAATAGGCTATATTCTAGCTTCAAGCATGGCAAAGTTGCTTGAGTATATGTTCTGTGTCCCGCTACACTTGAATCACATCCAGATAAATTAGCCTAAAACTGAGTATTTTTTCCTGTCGTTATTCAGTATTCTTCCGCGTACCACTAGAAGGAGGCTCGCGTACCACAAGTGGTACATGTACCACAGTTTGAGAACCACTGGTTTAGGGTATATACAGTGCTCAGCATATATGAGTACATTTTGAAAATTAATATTTTTATCCATTTCTCAGTGAATATGGGTAATATATATTTGTGCATTTAAAGAAAACAGATTTATTAAACAGACATATTTATTAAAATAGTATTTAAGTCACAGAACATCTTTAGAAATTGAAAGATAATACATTTAAATTCATGCAAAATATTGCAAAAGAAAATAATTACAACCTACAAAATTTCAACAAAAATTTATATATTTTTTGCTTCTCTTGATTTCTGCTATTTTTGAAAATCGTATTTAATATTTTTCCCTAGCAATAAATTTGGGCTACTATTTTTTGAACCAATACTCTAAGGCTGCGTCCGAAACTGCCTACTACTCAGTAGGTACTGCATTTGAACTTAAACGTACTACTCGGCCGTTAGAAAAGTATGTTCTATACAGTATGAATGTGAAAAGTAGGAATGGAATTCGGACGTATTACATCCGCCATTTTGTCATGGTCACATGATCTGCCTGCGTCAATTGCGTTGCTTTACTCCCATTCATGAATTCGCTCGCGGGGCATTATGGGATAGCGCAGCATGCATGGGATGCGCACTCTAGAATCTCGCCAGAAGTAGTAAGTCATCCGGGTACTTCTTGCATACTGTTTTTCGAATTCTATGAATTCGGACATACTACTTGGCTCGCATACAAATTTTAGCGTACTATATAGTATGGAAGTATGCGTTTTCGGACGCAGCCAAAGTTATTTTGTTAGATTAGCTCCAGATTTGGCTTCAGTACTGACTAAACTAATGTACATGCACAAATATAATATTGTGAATCATCCTATAGAAAACATTTGTTAAATTAGAGATTTGAGGGGGGGGGGTGTACTCATATATGCTGAGTGCTGTATGTGTGTGTGTACGTGTTTTGTGTGTTGTTTTGTTCCATTATCAGATTGATTAATTATGTTAAATGGATTAGCATATCATCTAACTCAGCTGGTATATTTAGCTTTGTTAAGTTAAATAAAAATGAAACATTTGAGTGGGTTAATAAGTTATAACTTAATGGCATAGGCCTTCAGCATATTACGAACATTCATTAGCAAATGTTGACCTTTTCATATTCTCCAGATTTTCAGTAACATCCACATAATTCTGTGTATATTTGGGAATTAAATAACACACGTACAGTAACACAAACAGTTTGCAATTGTGTACATGTACGATACTGTTGATTTTTAGGGCTGGTGCATCCATAGAGGATGAATTATAAAAACTAGTAACCACTGATCTCTGGTTAAATATGTATCAATTAATTACATTTAAATGACTATTGTTTATGGGAATTATCTTTACTCTAAACTAATGTGTCCGCAACACACTGTAAACTGACTGAGAGGCTCATGTGAGCTAAACGAGTTTTATGTTAGACTTGGCAACCGGAGCGATGTGGAATAAATCCTGCTTAACGTCCCGTTCCCATTCTTCTTCCCTTTTGTCTCTCTCCACATTCCCCCATCCGTACCGGGCCGGTGGCTGCTTGCCCACAGTCAATAGAGTTTTCTCTTCAGATTAACTTTCTGTGAACTTCACAAAGCTTCAGATGGGGAAACTTTGATGTTATTGAACCCCAGTGATCCTGCAAGTTTCATTCTCAACCCCCCATATAAATATATAATACAGATCCAATAAAACTACAAAAAGTTTCTTTCCTGCGTAGTCAATAATCCCATAAACCTTTTTGGCCCTCAATGCTTAGATCTGACTGTAGAAATACTCAAGTAGTCAAGTACTTCCCAAAGATAAGGTTAATCTTTTAGAGTTCAGCAATTTTAAAGTTCTCAGTTACTTTTTGAATTATACAGTATTTTTTTTACTTAAATCATTTATTTATTTATTTATTTGTTTGTTTGTTTGTTTGTTTGTTTGTTTGTTTGTTTGTTTGTTTGTTTGTTTGTTTGTTTGTTTGTTATGAGTTTGTTTTTACATGCCTGTTTATTATTTTTTTATTACTTCAAGTATTAATTTTGTTTATTTATTTATTTATTTATTTATTTGTTTGTTTATTTATTTATTTATATATTTATTTATTTATATGCCTGTTTATTATTTTTGTTTTAATTATTTAGGTAAATTAATTATTTATGTATTAATTATTTATTAATTTAATTATCTATTTATTTATTTTTATGCCTGTTTTTTTTTTTTTTTGTACTTCAAGTATTTATTTATTTATTTGTTTGTTTTTTCATGTATTTGTTTGTGTGTTTGTTTTTATATGCCTTCTTATTTTTTATTTTAATTGTTTTGGTACATCAAGTATCTATTTATGTATTTTATGTGCCTGTTTATTATTTTGTTTTAATTATTTTGGTACATCAAGTATTTATTTATTTATTTATTTATTTATTTATTTATTTATATGCCTGTTTATTATTTTTGTTTTAATTATTTTGGTAAATCATTTATTTATTATTTATTTTATACACCTGTGTGGTGTTTATTATTTTTGTTTTAATTATTATGATACATCAAGTTTTCATTTTTGTTTGAAATATTAGTTAAAGTTTATGTATTAAATGTTTGTATAGTTTTTATTAATGTTTGTATCAATTATTTAAATATATCAAGTATAGCGACATAAATTTAAATAGATCTGTAGCATTCATTAATTAAAACACTGACACTGACCACAAAATCACCAGGATAATGTTGACAATATAATCATGTTTGAATCCTCAGACCCCCGAGGACCACGAGGCAGAGACGGGCATCAAATCTAAAGAGGCTCGCAAATACATCTTCAACTGCCTGGATGATATGGCGCAGGTAGGAGTTTCGTACCTTTGTTCTTCAGCTCTCCAAGAAATCTGGCTCATGGCTAATAATAACCTTCCTCACCCTCAAAAATGTTTAGTCTCTGTCTCTGTGTGGAGAGTTTCCAGCACACTAAAAACACTGGGCTGTTACGTAACTGAGGACTCAGAAAAGCACAATGGAAACTGTATCCCCTCAGGAGACGTTTACCGATAAGATACATGACTTATGACCTTCAGTTTGATTGCGAGTTATTGAAATCAGCACGTCAGATGCCTGAACAGGCTGGGTCACGCTTTTGCCAACAATGACGCAAAGCTCAATTTGGGTTTTCCCACAAGAACCGACTCTATCCTGGTTCATCAGATAAAAATGGCTGATCTAATTTACTAGAGATTAAGATGAATTGATGGAAATATGCTAATCTGTGATGTGCTCATGGGCGTGTTTTTCACAAACGCCTTGTTTTAGTAGAATAACATCAGAACTACAGGCTTATTTTCAGGCCAGGGTCTCTGCTGTTTTGGTCTGAGTACTGACTAGCGCTGTAGTCTATAGTGTACGGTTAATTTTAAACTAGTGCTTAGTGCACTTTTGCATACACTAGTCTAGTTCATTGTTATACCATCAAGCTGTTTTAAGATCACAGTGAGATACAATGATGAAAAAAAAAATGTTCAGCAAGCTGCAAGGATGAATCAGGCATGATAAAATAAAATATAATTATTGTTAATAATAATAATGATAATAATAATAATAATAATAATTCATTCATTCATTCATTCATTCATTTTTCCTTCGGATTAGTCCTTTTATTCATCTGGGGTCGCCACAGCAGAATGAACCACCAACTTATCCAGTATATGTTTTATGCAGCGGATGCCCTTCCAGCTACAACCCAGTACTGGGAAACATCCATACACACTCATTCACACACATATTCACACACTACGGCCAATTTACGTATAGCGCATGTGTTTCGACTGTGGGGAAAACCGGTGCACAAGAAGGAAACCCATGCGAACACGGGTAGAACATGCAAACTCCACACAGAAATGCAAACTGGCCCAGCTGGGACTCGAACCAGCGACCTACTTTCTGTGAGGTGACAGTGCTAACCACTGAGCTACCGTGTCACCCTAATAATAATAATAACAGTAATAAAAAACACACATTTTATTTAATTAGTTATATATTTACTTTTTTGTTTGTTTCATAATGCATTCTAATGATTTTTTTACTGACATCAGTAGTAAATTAGTAGTGGATGTTATTATTTTTAGCAGCAGTGGAAGTAGTATTGGTAATTATTAATTTTACAAAACATGATGAAGTTCTTGCAAACAAGCAAGGACAAAAATAAAAAAGCATTTTATGTTTGTTTTATAATCAATTATAACATCAACAATATTAATTTTAAATTAAACTATCGTTTCATAATAAATTAGAATAAAAGTATTAATGTTATTTATCAAACAAGAAAAATATTTGCAATCGTTATTTATTTATATAATAGTAAATCTGAATTTAATTTGGGGAAAGTAATAGCTAGTAATAACAGACATTAATATCAATAACTATGTATATCATTGTATTATGATGGTGATTATAAATTTTATATATATATCATCCAACATCCGACTGTATTATATATTACCTCTTATTTAAGTCTAATTATTTATTACTTATTCATCATGAGGAAACCCACACAAACTCGGTGAGAACATACAAACTCCACGCACAAATGCCAACTGACGCAGCCGGGGTTCGAACCAGTGACCTTCTAGCTTTGACGTGAATGTGCTACCCACTTTGCCACCGTGCTGCCCCCTAATAATAATTATTTTGTCTGTGTGTGTGTGTGTGTGTGTGTGTGTGTGTGTGTGTGTGTGTGTGTGTGTATATCTCACATAGCTGCAAGGAAAAAAGTAGCAATAATTATTATTTTTATTTATTTATTTATTTATTTATTTATCTATCTATATATTCATTTATTTATTTTTATTATTTTTTGTAGTAATATTTATAGGAATCTCATCCCAAAGTTGCAAACAAGGAAAAATTATTTAAGATGGTCTTCATTATTCATTACAGTTTATGTATTACTTTATTAAATAAGTCATTATATCTTTTGAAACTATGACTAGAGAGAGAGAGAGAGAGAGAGAGTGTGTGCAGTATATATGATGAGCGTCTGCACCGCTGTCTCCATGATCTGCACCTGTCTTTATTTTGTTGCAGCACTTGTGAATCGAGCTCATTTGAATCTAGCAGTCAGATGTGAAACAGAGAGCAAGAAGAATGATTGTTCTGGGTTTCATCATCTTCAGCAGACAGTTCACTAACTGTGCTTTCTGCAGGATTTGTGTACAGCAGCTCTGCAGTCGCCTGTGCTTCATATTCAGCGTCCTCAGTGATTATTTCAGAGATTTTCTCTTTATCATGCAGCAGGGTGATGGACTGAAATAGCATGCATGAATTACGGCGCTGACTGCTTTATCTGATAGCTCAGGGAGGTTTCGGACACAGATAAACAGCATGGCACTGTGAAAAACACGTTAGCCCTCTGTGACAGGGATGCCCAATAATAATAATAAAAAAAGCTGTGCTGCACTGCATTTCACCTCTGGCAAAACAGCGTGTTTCTACAAATACAGCCGCTTTTATGTCCCAGAGCTGATTTTTGTAAACAGATTTGAACTTTTCTTTGATACATCGAGGTCATATTCAAATCTTGCAAACTTTTCCATTTCTTCTTTATTTATATTTGATTCTGGAAATAAAGTGTTGTAGTTTTTTATGTTGCATTTATTTAATGTTATTTTTAATAAATAAGTAATTATTATATTATATTATATTATATTATATTATATTATATTATATTATATTATATTATATTATATTATATTATATTATATTATATTATATTATATTGTATTATATATCATAGATTATATTATTCATTTTTATTCATTTGTTTTCTTTTCGGCTTAGTCCCTTTATTAATCTGAGGTTGCCACAGCGGAATGAACCGCAAACTTATCCTGCATAAGTTTTACGTAGCGGATGCCCTTCCTGCTGCAGCCCATCTGTGGGGAACATCCACACACACTCATACACTATGGACTATTTTAGCCTACCCAATTCACCTGTACCACATGTCTTTGGACTGTGGGAGACACCAGAGCACCCCGAGGGAAACCCACGCAAATACGGGGAGAACGTGCAAACTCCACACAGAAACGCCAACTGACCCAGCCGAGGTTCGAACCAGCGACCTTCTTGCTATGAGGCGACATCGCTACCCACTGCGTCGTCTTATTCGTGTTTATTTAATTTGTTATTGACTAAAATATTTTTAAATATTTACAGAAGTTATTTATTTCATATATTATTGTCCTATTATTATGCAAGTTTATTATTCAATTTTATTTGTGTTTGTGTAATTTATTATTATTTTGATCATTTTTTAGGTAATTACAAAAGTTATTTATATTACAAATATTTTATTTGTGTTTGTGCAATTTTTTTATTAAATGTATAATATTATAGTTTTATTTTAGTCGTATTATTATCCAAGTTTATTCTTCACTAGAATGTGTATTTGTGTAATTTCTTATTAAATTGATATTGTTTTAGTTAATTACACAAAATGTATTTATTTCATATTATATAATGTGTTTGTGTAATTTATATGTTAGTCAGAATTATAAGCCCCCCTTTAATTTTTTTTTTTTTTCATTTTTAAATATTTTACAAATTATGTTTAACAGAGCAAGAAAATTTTTACAGTATGTCTGATAATATTTTTTTCTTCTGGAGAAAGTCTTATTTGTTTTATTTCGGCTAGAATAAAAGCAGTAATTATCTTTTTAACCACCATTTTTTAAGCTAAACAACCCTTTAGGCTAAATTTTATTTCAATAGTCTACAGAACAAAGCATCACTTTAAGCTGTATAGTGTCCTGAAAAATATCTGGTCAAATATTATTTACTGTCATCATGGCAAAGATAACATAAATCAGTTATTAGAGAAGAGTTAATAAAACTATTATGTTCAGAAATGTGTTGAAAAAAATCTTCTCTATTTTAAACAGAAATTGGGGGAAAGAAATTACTGGGGGTTAATAATTCAAATATATATCTCATATACACGCACACATAAACACATGTAAATACATTTTTCAAAGTATTGTGATGTAATTGCAGTTTACTCACAATTCATTTTTGATTTTCATAATTGTATGATTTATGTCTCTCAAACTCTCTTAGACTTAAAAACCTGAAAAAAGGGGTAAGGTGTAAAGATTGTGTCTCAGATTTTGAGACCATCAGGCAGATGGGAATATGTGACCCGGCATCTAAAGCTTTCCTCAGAGACTCTCTGAATAGCTGTAAATTCGAGGGCAAATATTTGGAAAACATGAGAAAGGTTATGGCTATCCTCTGAGAAATGACTGGCAGACCTGTGTATATTAATAGAGCTGTACACGTCAAGCACTGCGGGAGTTCTTCACACACAAATACGCACATGCATTATTTACCAGAGCTCTAAGATACGTACGGTGGATCAGAATAAACAGCTGACAGATTCCTTCATCCACAGACCACCAGGCTTGTATTGTACACACATTCACTTCCTATAGATGTCTTATTCTGCAGTTATGGCTGCTAGTTTTCTCAATTCCTGAATTCAATAGCACACAGTCTAGCGTATCTACAAATAAGCCGCTTTACATTAAATGCAGATTTTTTTCCTTTCAGAATTTTGTTTGAGCCTTACAGGTGTTTTTATTTATTTATGGAACAGTAATTCATTCATTCATTCATTTTCTTTTCGGCTTATTTCCTTCTGGGGCACGCCACAGCGGAATGAACCTCCAACTTGTCCAGTCTATGTTTTATGCAGTGGATGCCCTTCCAGCCGCCACCCATCACTGTGAAACATCAATACACACACATACATTACAAACAATTTAGCTTACCCAATTCACCTATACCACATGTCTTTGGACTTGTGAGGGAAACCAGAGCACTCGGAGGAAACCCATGCCAACACGGAGAGAACATACAAACTGCTACCCACTGCTCCACCGTGAGGCCCATGAAACAGTAATTTATGGAATAAATCATTATGCTTTAAAAAAATTGTATGATTTTATCAAACATACTGTTACTGTAACTGTAAATTGTAAAACCAGAGTGTGCGTGTAATTTATTTATATCTGTATATTATTTATTATTACATGTACAGTATTTATTACTATTAATTTAATATATTTTGCATGAAAATTTTTCTGTGCTGGTTTATGGAACTTAATTTGTTGTGTGATTGCAAACATCCTTTAAAATATCTTATTTTTTTTGTCAACAAAGTAATTCAGCTAATTTGGAAAGTTTAAATGCACTGAGCATCTTTCTGCTTGAAAAAATTATAATAAAATTCAATTTAAATTGAGTGAAAAACAAGTTTTAAAAAATCATATAATTTATTTTTATATATATTATATAATATTATTTATTTCTACTACTTACCTTTAAATGAATAAATTAAACATAGTAATAAATAATATATAATAATAATATATATAAATAATTTTTTATTTTATGTTTTTTTAAATTGTATTATTTATTACTTTTTATTATTATTATTATTATTAATAATTAATTAATTATTATTAATAATTAAATAAATAATTATTATTTATTTATTTAATAGTAAGCAATAGTAATAAATAATATTATAATCACATTTCATGTCAGGCAACCAGACTTCTACCAGTGGAAAATTAACCTATAATTTACATCTATAATCTGAGGTGTTCTGGCGCATTTGGTTCTCCTTCTGGATTTTTCTTGAGAGTACTCAGTGAATATGTTTTTTTAAATTTGTTTTATAATGTCCTTTCATTTTGGCCTTTTTAAAGCATTTGTGTGCATGTTAGAATGACTAATAAAAACTGCTGTACTTGTTATGAGATACTAATACCACTGTTCTTTTGTTGAAAAAAAAAAAAAAACTCTTTAAATAGTGATGTGACTAAAAAGTGGGCATAAACTATTTTTTTCTCAATTCAAATGAGTTGCGGCTTGGACACAGTATTTTGGAAACAGTATTTCATATGTCACCGATACGTCACGACTTAACAAGTGAATAGACATACTGTATATATGGCTATATAAAGGCAAGGCAAGTTTATTTATATAGCACATTTCATAGACAATGGCAATTCAAAGTGCTTTACATAAACAATAATAAAAGAAACAAGTAAAATAAAAATAAAAACAAATAATAAAAATGCGTAAAAACAAAACAAAACATAAAAACGGGTAAAATGTGATATAAAAGAATGAAGAAGAAGAGAAAAACATGATAGTGAAATCTGTCGGACGCAGCACAGTGCTCATTCAGTAAAGGCACAGCTAAACAGATGTGTTTTCAGTCTTGATTTGAATGTGCCTAATGTTGGAGCACATCTGATCATTTCTGGAAGCTGATTCCAGCAGCGAGGGGCATAGTGGCTAAAAGCTGATTCACCCTGCTTTGACTGAACTCTTGGAACTTCTAGTTTATATGATCCTAATGATCTGAGTGATCTGTTAGGTTTGTATTCAGTGAGCATATCTGTGATGTATTTAGGTATAAAGGTATATTAGGTATAAAGAAAGAATTATCAGTAGGGCGGGAGGTCATTTCTACCGGTAAATGTGCGTTTCATGTCACATACGAAAGTAATTCTGTGCTGAACTATTATCGAGAGCTGTTTATCCATTTGGAAAATTGACCGAACTGCAATCTTGGTTTATCTGTTATTTCTCTATATAATGTAAAGCCTATAATTCATAATTCTAGCCAATGACTCTATTAAAAAAAAAATCTTACCTCTGATTTATATCTAGAGACGATGTCTGTGGGTGTCACTATTGAATGTTAAAGTGCAGCTTTTCGCTTATAATGTCTTACTGTCATAAATTAAAATGAGGACGCATGACAGCTTAGCGGGACTGGGCAAAATAAACCGTAAAAGTCTGACCAATGTGTTTTAGCTATTTTAGTCCGTTTAGAAACTTTGCCGTGTGAAAGCGAACCGCACCAAGAGCACAAAGCAACATTGTGACATTTTAATCCCTGTTTCAGGACAAAAGAATCAATCCACAGTTGTGAAAGCATATTTAAATTATGTAAAAAAAAAAAAAAACTTTTGTTTTGGATGCGATTAATAAACACTATTTTTTTAACTTTGCGGTTTTATTGCTGAATGATAAATAAATCAAATCATTCCAAAGTTTGAGAAATTCTATGACACAGATTCTGTGTTGACATTGTGATGCAATAACTAATAGTGCACCAGGATAAGAAAGCAAACCATGGATACCTTTAAGGATACCTAAAGCACGTCTCAGTATATCAGTCATGATGTTTCTGACTCCGCCTTTGTTTTGTGCTTTCTGCAGGTGAATATGACCACAGACCTGGAGGGCAGTGATATGTTGGCAGAAAAGGCAGACAGAAGAGAGTTCATTGACCTGCTGACCAAAATGCTGACCATCGACGCAGACAAGAGAATAACACCCATCGAGACCCTCAACCACCCCTTCGTCACCATGACCCACTTGCTGGACTTCCCTCACAGCACACAGTCAGTTTTCATTGTGTTGTGATGTTTGTTTAATTAAATGGATTATGAATAAATCGCTGACCGAGTGTTTTTTTGGATTGTTGCAGTGTCAAATCCTGCTTCCAGAACATGGAGATTTGCAAGCGTCGGGTGAACATGTACGATACAGTCAATCAGAGCAAGACCCCCTTTATAACACATGTAGCCCCCAGCACCTCGACCAATCTCACCATGACCTTCAACAACCAGCTGAACACTGTGCATAGCCAGGTCAGTATCCACCAGTGCTGTCAAGCAACAAATTACAAACAAACACTCAAATGACTGTAATTGAGTAGGTTTTCACAGGAATTGTTCTTTACTTAGTAATTTTTAAAATGTGCACTTTGACTTATGACTTGAATACATTTTTAGTGCTGTGTAGGTACTTTTACGCCACTGTTTTCCTTCAACCTGCAGTCACTGCTTTATTTTTTCTCGTCTATGGTGATTGGTTGAAGTAGAATAATCAGTCCTGTGATTCCCCTCCAAACAAATTGAAGATAGAAAAATTGCAGCATATAGAACAACTTCAAGACACAGAAGACACAAAATCATTAGACAGATGCCTTCTGTATGATGACTGAAATTGCCTTAAACAATAACTAAATAAACTACAGAATGTTACGTTTTCACACGCACAAATTGAACGTAAACACGTTAACCTTTCACAGTGTAATACCTACTACTCTGGAGGGCTACTTTTTACTCATACTTTCAGTTATATTTACAACAGTGACTTTACTGTACTGGCATGATTGTATGACGCAACCCAAATGTCTTCATTTGATCATCGTGAAACTGTCCACTCTCTGGTTACCAACATACTTCAAATGATCTAATTATAACATTTTGGAAGATTTCAATTAACTGAGCATCTTTCTGCTTATTAAAATGTAAAAAAAAAATTCAATCAACATAGAGTCAGAACACTTAAATAAACAATTAAACAGTTGAAGTCAGAATTATTAGCCCCCCTTTTAATTTTTTTTCTTTTTTAATATTTCCCAAATTATGTTTAACAGGGCAAGGAAATTTTCACAGTATGTCTGATAATATTTTGTCTTCTGGAGAAAGTCTTATTTGTTTTATTTTTGCTAGAATAAAAGCAGTTTTTAATTTCTTTAAAAAACATTTTAAGGTCAAAATTATTAGCCCCTTTAAGCTGTATATTTTTTCGATAGTCTATATAACTTAAGCCTTTAAATGTCACTTTAAGCTGTATAGAAGTGTCTTGAAGAATATCTAGTCAAATAATATTTACCGTCATCATGGCAAAGATAAAATAAATCAGTTATTAGAGATGAGTTATTAAAACTATTATGTTTAGAAATGTGTTGAAAAAAAATCCTCTCTCCGTTAAACAGAAATTGGGGAAAAACTTAACAGGGGTGCTAATAATTCTGATCATTCTAATAATTCAACTGTATATGTGCATGCATGCATGTATTTGTATTTATATATACATAATACTCTACCTGCAGGATTGTATGTTGCATCCTAAATTAAAAAATAGTCTTCATTTGCTCATCGTGAATCTGTCTACTCTCTGGTTACCACCATACTTTAAATTATCTAATTATATAATTTTGGAAGATTTCTATTAACTGGGTATGTTTTTGATAAATACATTTATTTTAGTAATTACAATTAAGCTAAAAAAATGTAAAAAAAAAAAAATAATTACTTGCAATCTAGGAAAATAATAAATATTATAAAATAATAATTAATAGTAATAATATTAAATTAAACAGAAAATGATTTCATAGGGCATTGTATTTTTATGCTTATTATCTACTGCAGTATAGTAATTTATCAAAACAATTGTATTTTAGTAAGAAGATAAAAATATAATTAATTCAAATAAAAAAAAATGAAGTGACTAGAATTGTATTTAAATAAATGTAAAATAAATATTTGCAAATAATTAAGCCATCGACAGAACATTTATGCATTTAAAAACATTTCCAATTGTCATGTTAACACTATTGCATATACAACTAAATGTTTCTTCATGCTTGCTATGACGTAATGTCTTTTAATGCAAAATCAACCTCAAATCTACAGCTAGGTTAGAGCCCAAACAATGACAAGCCATATGTTAATAAAAGCCTTACTTTCAATTGCAACCTAAACCCTCTTTGATCCCTACTTCCTTTAAATTCCCCTCAAAGCTGCAGATAATTAATTACACTACACGCACAGACTCATTAGCAGCGGGACAATCCAAAGAAATTAGTGTAGCATTGCCCCATTGACCACTGGCAGTATCGGATGGCTTCCTTCAGTGGACAGAACACCAGTCAAATCATGGGCCATTTAGGCTGTGTGTGTGCGTGCATGCTTGCGTGTGCGCGCTTGTTTTTATAACCCGGTGAGGACTTAATCCTGAATCCATACAGACACATGGGGACTTGTGTCCCTTTAGTGACCAAAATCGAAGTACCCACCGGTAAACAAGCTAATAAATAACAGAGAATTAAGTATTTTGAAAATGTAAAAATACAGAATGTTTCCTGTGAGGGTTGGGTTTAGGGTTAGGGTATACTCTAAAGGTACAATGCTGTCACTGGGGCGGTACTTTTTTAAAAGGTATATTTTTTGTTCTTTACAGCCACACATTAGTGCATTTGAGGTTCAATTTTGTACAGATTTGTACTTTTTAAGTATAAGTATGCCTCTTTAAAGGGTCACACCTCTAGTTTGAAAAAAAACAAAAAACAGGAACGTGGGTAAGTTCAGCTTTGTTTAGGTGGGAATGTTGAGTGGCGACAAAGGGAAGGATTTGCATAAAAAGGGAGTTTTATTAAGTGCACTACAACTATCAAACAGCTGTGTGTGTATAGACTATCCTTTAACAAAATGTGGCAAAAATCATATGTGGTGAAAATCCTACACTACGGTAATAGTTTGATTAGGGTATTTACATGTTCACATTTGGAGAGCAGAATTTACAGCGGATCTTTCAGTCCATATTATTGTAGTGATATTAACATACTGTAAACTGAGTAACTAAATCATTTAGACTAAGGTATGTCTTTAAAAAACTGAAAGAGTACTCCTGATGATACTAACTAACTTAGCATATGAATAAACATAAACAAAAAACATTGATCGCACACCTACCAAATCTGTAGAGACAGGACAATCAACACCAATGGAGCCGTGTCGTTGTTTAAAAAGAAGACGAGCGGCAAATCTGAATTTCACCATTTTCATATTCGAAAAGCTCTCGAGTAAAAAATGTTCCTTACAAACATATTGTTGTCGCATGTTAGCAGCTTCGTTACGGCACATTTATAAACACAACACTGACGACCCATGTTTCCGAACAATTTCTCTTCGTTCACTTGTATTAATTACGGTTGGCAACACAATGTGGCATCTCACTGAACACTGTAACAGGTAAAAGAAGTCTTCGAAGTTATATCATCCATATTAATGAAGTTGCACCTCATTCACAATAGAGCGCTCTGATTGGTTTAAACCAAGTCTTTCTCATGAATTATTGCTAAAAACCTAAAGATGTCATGTCGTACCAGCCAGTACAGACATCCAGTTTCCACGCTGAAATTTACATAATTATCTCATGGCCATGACGTAGCTTCTAAATTTCTTTTCAAACCAGACGAACGAATTTTTGCTCCAACTTTTTAGTGAAATATATATGTCCTAATAGCGTTTTTAGCAACATGGGACATATATATGACTGTCAACAGCTCAAAAAATATGTTTTGGGGTTTCATGACCCTGTTGAACTGCAACAAAAAAGCAGCTTTTAAAAGCTACTGCCCCAGTGACAGATTGTGTTCCTTTATTTCTGAGAGTGTAGGGGGATAGAATATACGGTTTGTAGAAGCATCATTATGAGAGTCCCCACTGGGATATAGGAACAAGACTGTTTGTGTGTGTGTGCGCGTGTGTTTGCGCGAGTGCGTGTCTCCAGCCTTGCAGCCCTCTGTCACAATGTGCTGATTAACAACATGACAGCCTCTACTTCCTGCTTGGCTTGCATTTTAGTACTTTGCAGCCTTAAGGATTGCACCACTTTGTTTCCTTCTCTCCTTTTGTTTCCTCCTGTTTTGCCTCAGTGCAGTTTAGCTTCACCGGGGAGCGTTTGTCTAAACTGCTGACAGAGGCCCAGGCTTGAATCCCATAATGCCTTCATTTCGGACTTCTTAGATCGACTCAAGCCCGGACTTTTTCCCCCTTCGAATAAACATGGCTAAAGTCAAAAAGTCAGACGGCTGTAATGTTATAGCATTCCGGCTTCTCTCTAACATCCCGAACACTGTCTTGGGTGTGTTCGGAAGGGTATAAGCTTGTGTAGCATTAGCCAGCTGTGAGGCTGAAGTGTTTATTTTGTGTGATGAATGCCATGGCGGTGTATTGATTAACTCTCTCCCCCGGTGCTCGTCGGCCTTGCTAAACGGGAAAATGAAAAATGAAAAGCCTGTACTGAATTCTCCCTCTACAAACCTTAATGAAAAGTCTATAATTACGAACGGTGGCATGAGATGAAACAGTATTGCTTTGGTAACAGATGAAAGTAAATAACACAATCCTCCATTAAACAAACAGGTTTTAATGCTGCACCAGAGTTTGGATGCATCCTTTTTGTGTACTGTATTGTTCAGTTTTGAGCATTGAAGATCAGTGGTCTAGATCAGTGGTTACCAGCCTGGGGGCCACCAAAGATCCGTAAGGGGTGATTAATAGTTTGAAGGTTGAAACAGATACCAGTTTGATGATAAAAATTACTGACCGTTTGTTTTGTCTTTTTAACAAATTATTGAAAGTGTATTTATTACAGCATAAAGCTAATTTCTTTAAGCATTTCTGCCTTTTTTTAAGTACTACACACTATCAGAAAGTGGATTTACATTTTCATTCAAGCTCTGTGCAGATTTTGTTCCGACCGTAGACTGGATCACACAAAAGCAAATTTTAGTCAAAAAAATAAATAAATAAAAAATTGTGGATTTATATATTTTTATAAATACAGTAAGATTTTTGTTTTATTTAAACATAGTAAATATTAGTTAACAATGTGTGTTGTTCATTTATTTATGTTACTGTTTTAATTATTACCTGTTCTTGCAATAATTTAAAATCTACCAATGGTCATTATTGATTTTGATTGATAAAATATGGGTCTATTTGTTAAAAAGGTTGGGAATCACTGGTGTAGATGATTAATCTCACTCTACAATATTATTATTTACCTGTACTAATGTTATATACAGTTAAAATCTTAATTTTTAGCCCCCCTTTGAGTTATTTTTTTATTTTTATTTTTTCCCCAAGTTATATTTAACTGAGCAATTAAATTTATGTCTTATAATATTTTTTTCCTCTGGAGAAAGTCTTATTTGTTTTATTTCGGCTAGAATAAAAGCAGTTTAGAATTTCTTTGAAAAAACATTTTAAGGTCAAAATTATTAGCCCCATTAAGCGTTATATTTTTTTCCGACAGTCTACAGAACAAATCATTGCTATACAATTACTTGCCTAATTACCCTAACCTGCCTAGTTAACCTAATAAACCTAGTTAAGCCTTTAAATGTCACTTTAAGCTGTATAGAAGTGTCTTGTAAAATATTAAGTACTGTCATCATGGCAAAGATGAAATAAACAATAAAAGTTATTAGAAACGAGTTATTAAAACTATTATGTTTAGAAATGTGTTGAAAAATATATTTTCTCCGTTAAACAGAAATTGGGGAAAAAAATAAACAGAGAGGGGGGCTAATAATTCAGAGGGTTTAATAATCCTGACTTCAACTGTACATAAATAAATGTATAAAGAAGAAATTGACAAATAGATACTAAAAATTGACATTTTATAAATTCAGCATGACAATTTAGAAAGACTTTTTACAAAGTCTTAACATTTACACGTGTCCTATTCAGACTTGACCCTTAATCTTGTGTTGCTTTACACCTTTTTGGGTGTAATATTTTTTATTATTGATATATTTCTGAAATAGAACAGGAAGCTTTTTAAAATGAAATGGATTAGGTATGTCCAGATCCAATCACATGATCGGCAATGGGGCCTGATTATGCGGTTTCAGACTCGTTCGGAATCGGACGTTAACTCCTGATCAAAGTAGAACACGGATGCAGCGTGAAGCGGAAAGCGTAAGCATGTCTGCGGTCTGGAGGTGTTAAAAAGTTGATGACGACAACATTGCCAAAGCAAACTGTGAGATATGTAAACTTGGGATTGCCTGCCAGGTACTTTAAGTTGAGGTGCTATTTGTTTTTATATTACATTTCTTATATTTACTGTTGCACTAAAATGCAAAAGTGAAGAATTGATGTTATTTATTACTTAATTGTTCAAGCTACCTCACAGAAGGGCTCTGTTTGTCATCAGAGTTGTTGAATGTTTAAAATAAGATAAGTTAATTAAAAAACAAGGAACATCCTGTATCTGTTTATGTATTAGCAATAGCAATGATTTTTTGATTATTTTTAGATTTGATGATCATTTGATGAAGTTAATGTGCTTCGCTTTCTAGTCTTTCAGCTAAACGTTAAAGTCATTTGAAGGCCTGACTGACTAGTCCCCCCAGCAGATTGAGTGTAATCTTTTTGTCATCACTGTCAGCCTGCTCCTCCAAACACCCTGAAAAAAATCATACTGTATGATATTTATATTTAGAAAACTACAAATCCATACTTTGATTCACTTTTTCCATACGTTTACAGAATTGGAAATGACTCAAATCATATTTCATACTTTTCAAACTGCCTTTAGGAACCCTGACTTTACTATATCAGATTCAAACTTTCCAAATGAGCTCCAAAGCTCTAAATAATGATGTCTGAGCATGCACACTGGCCACTAAGTCATGGTTCTTTACTTTTTTGTTATAATTTTAGCAGGACAGACTCGACCTCAGATTTCCCATATAAGCTCTTTGGCTCAAAATGTTAAAAGCGAAGCATGTGCACTGACTGCTAAGCCATGGCCCAGACCTTCTTTATCATTTTGAACAGCAATCACACTCTTTCCTACATCTGGCGGTGTTACCGCACTAATATTTTTACTTCTGGCTATATTCTTGGCTTGCGTTTTTGTTTGAGAATGAGAGCGACTATGATAGAAGGACCTGCACAGCTCTTTTGAGAAGCACATTCAGTTCAGCGTTCTAGATGGAGGAGAGGGAGTTCCCTCGTTCATCAAACCTCCTAGACGGCGCAAATTCCACATTGATAGATGAATAAACAGATGAATGTGCTGCAGTCAGGCCGGATTAAAAAGCACTGGAGGGCAAATCCAGCACAGAGGCTTCGAAGAACAGATTTTCGCTCCCCTCACCAGTTAGATCTGTGTGTATGTTTAATCATAGCTTTAGCGCAAAGAGGGATCATTATCTGTTGCTAATGAGACCGGGCAAATTCAATGAGTTGAAGGGTCCTAGCATTGATGGAGACTGTAACACAAGAGCATTGATTGAAGCTCTCTCACCTCCTCTTCCCTAACGCTCAATAAGTCATTTTATAGAACATGCCTGAATCCTAATGTCGTTTTCGTTACCAACACGGTTTGGGTATTCGTTCTGTGAAATTGCTCAAGATTTTACAATAAACATGTTTCCTTTGCATGTTTCCATTGGCTAACCATTTTTTTGCACCTCCACCCTGCATTTCAAGAAACATTTTTGTTCATTATTTGATATTGTTTGAAATTTTGCCCCTCATCGTTGCTCCACTCAATCCCCACACCCACTTCCTCATGCTTTTGTTTGTTTGTCTTTTGTTTGTTTGATCCCATCCGTTCCTTTAGGCCACCAACCTGGCTCCCTCTTCCACCAGTGCCACCCTTTCCCTTACCAATCCCGATGTCTCCATACTAAATTACCAATCTGCACTCTACCAGCCTTCTGCGGCCCCCATGGCTGCCGTGGCACCCAGGACGATGCCCCTCCAGCCCGGTGCACCGCAACTCTGTGCCGCCCGACCCGATCCCTTCCAGCAGGCCCTCATCGTCTGCCCACCTGGCTTCCAAGGTAATTTAGGTTAAAATGTTTCTGATAGTCCAAATCTGTTTTTGGTATGGCTCCTACTTAAATTATACACATCTGAATCTTAATGTTAATTTGCATCTTCAGACTCACCAGAAACTTCTAGAAAAATGTTTTGAAGCTAACTTCTTCAGAATATTGGTGCTCCAGGAGCAAGATTAAACCGCTTTTGGCTAAATTCTGTCACTATTTCCTTGATGTTAATTATCTGTTTTCTAAACTGTCTGCCAGCTTTTTCCATGTAATGGCAATTTACAGTATTTGCATTAAACAAATAGGAGAAAAACAACATTTATGTATAATAAAAATGATTCATACAGTAAGTGGTTTCTATTCCAAGTCATCAAACAGAAGATTTATGTGAGGATCATGCTGAAATTATGTAGTCATGCACTTATAAAATTCTACTTAAACTACTTGGACCAAGGTACAACAATAAAAAATTATTTTAGTTCAAAGTTGAATGACTTAAATATGCTATAATAATAAAAAGTTTTAATGCTTTAGATTAATCAAAACCGACAATAAGCATTTATAAAAGGTTTATATTCATAATAAATGCTTTTCATTGGAACTTTTGACAACAGAATTAAATAATAAATAGTTTTTAAGATAATCTGCATATTAGAATTATAATAATTGAGCATTTTTTTATTTTAAATTATAATTTAACAGTAATTTTTTTTACAGTTTTATTGTTGAATAAATAAACGCAGCATTGCTTAGATAGGAAACATAAAAAAGTTGCCCTCAGACTTTTGAATAGTAGTGTAGTGTAAAGGCTGATTTATATTTCTGCGTCGAGTGATCGCTGTGACCCACGGCACCTGCCTTGTACGCAGTCGTGAATTTATACTTCTGCGTGCTGTTTGTTTTGCTGTGCAATAACACTTTCGAAACGCTAGCTGGCAGTAGGTTTTTATGTTCCTCTTCTTTGTGGGTGTTTTGTTTTTTCTGAACACACTACCTTAATGTACAAGTAGCTACTGTAAAACTTACTCATACAGAAGCGGGAACTGGTGGACATGCAACGACTTTAATCATAAGATAAACACAAAACAAAAGTTTCCATCTGGAGCTCCTTCATGGGACTCCACACTTGTAAACAATCGCTCCACCGTCCACGCTCTTAGCACGTCCACGCTCGTCAACATTGCGACGTTTACGATGTTGCGACATGTATACTCCAAAAATGTTTACTTCTGCTGAAACAACACAATTCTTGTAATTTCTTTGGCCAATTTATTTGTTTTACGTTCAGTATACTTACATTTGTTAACCATTGACAACAATGGTTCATGACAACATGAAGGAATCTGGCCGGTCCAACTACATGGTTAGGGCATGTGTAGTTCCCAGATTTGAGTGCGATTGAATTTAAAAAATGCTGACAGTAAAAGTAACCTTAGGTGTTTAAAGTTGATAAGACGTGTTAGAGTTTAATCTTCACTTTAGTTTTGAGTAGGTTTTCATGTAATGCTTTGAGTTTTGAAATTACCACCTTCAGAAGCACACATGCTTTGGGTGTTGGTAGCTTAATTAGCAAAAATGCAGTTTGTTGCTTTGCTCAGTGAGCAATAGCTGTTTTAAAATTAAATCTGAGATCAGTCTCAATCAACTGTAGATGTAACTCATAAAATATGCTTAAAATAGCTCTTTAATGTTCATTTAGGATAACTTTTATGCATTTTATGGACAGTTGAAGTCAGAATTATTTGGTTTATTTTTATTCTACAATTTGTTTTAACGGAGAGAAGATTTCTTCAGCACATTTCTAAACATAATAGTTTTAATAACTCACCTCTAATGACTGATTTATTTTACCTTTGCCATGATGACAGTAAATAATATTTAAATAGATATTTTTCAAGACACTTCTATTCAGCTTAAAGTGACATTTAAAGGCTTAACTAGGTTAATTAGTTTAACTAGGCAGGTTAAGGTAATTAGGCAAGTTTTTATATTATGATTATTTAATCTGTAGATATTCCATGAAAATTATAGCTTAAAGGGGCTAATAATTTTAACCTTAAAATGTTTTTTTATAAAATTAAAAAGTTATTTTTTCTAGCCGAAATTAAACAAATAAGACTTTCTCCAGAAGAAAAAATAGTATCATACATACTGTGAAAATTTCCTTGCTCTGTTAAACATCATTTGGGAAATATTAAAAAAAAAAAATTCAAAGTGGGTGAATAATTTTGAATTCAACTGGATGTTTAAAATGTATTTAAACTTTTATTTGATAAAGTCAGGTTGGAACAAGTTTGTTTAGTTAAACAATTTTTTTGGATGGAAATCCTGCCCTCAATTAAATTGAGTTCATCCAATGAGTTTTTTTTATATATATATATATATATATATATAGTTACATTTCATGAGCAGCGCCGGACTATACATGTACGCTAGATGCAGAACTATAAATAAGCCTTAAGGGACTCTTCGTGGTAGTTTATTTGTTCATTGTATGAAAGAAAGCTGCCAAACTAAAAGATTCTACTAAAAGTCGCACAAACTCAAAATAAGCAAATCGTAACAGAATTTGAATTTCTATGTTTTTACCGTCCAATAACTTCGCTGTTATTTCTTACCAGGTTTGCAAGCATCGCCCTCTAAACACACTGGCTACTCTGTGCGGATGGAGAACGCAGTTCCCATAGTAACACAGGCCCCCGGTGCCCAACCTCTGCAGATCCAGCCAGGCCTTCTGACACAGGTACAGCCAGACATTGCCCCCATCGCCACAGCAACACAAAGCCACATTTCCAAAACTAATTACACCCCTCAGCCTTTCCCAAATTCTCAATTACATCCGAGTTTGGCTCCGACGAGGAGCAATTAGCATGACCTACTTTGTTTTAATGATATAAGTATAATTCACTCTCCCCTCAACGAAATCCAGAAGACACTCTCATTTCATGGCCAATAGATTAATTGAAGCCGGGTTGGATTTATCTCAGCATGCTCTGCTGTAGCAAACGCAATGACCTGCCTTTCCCCTTCCGGAGATTTTCCCCTCAATGATGCTTTGCTTTCCTGCCTCCACTGAGGTCTAGGAAACTGTGCTTCTTTCCTGGAGTTAACAGGAAGTCACGCTTTGATGAGCAAGACTGAGGTTGGCTTTAAATGAGGTCTGTAGATGCTGAGGGATTTGTCGACCCTCGGGAGCCACAAGGAAGGGCCCAGACGGCTTTTAAATTCGAGACGTTCAGAGCTGTTTAGCCAATTTGTAATTTATCTACAACTTTTTCAGAACTGCTGAGCTGAGCGCTTGTTGCTTTTTTGAAGATTATACTCTTAGTTCAGGCAAAGAATATTAACACACACTCATGCCATTCCGAAGGCACACGACTTTCTTTATTAAACAATATTCTAGCTGTACATTTTGCTTAAATCATAATGACTCGTCAGCAAATTTGTCTATTTTCCACATCTTGTAGTGTTGAGTGAAAAAAGGCAAACATTTAAGTTGATATTTACTGAAGCTCTTAATATCAATTCTAGTTGTTCACAACAATGTCTATAATGCTAATAATGACATTATGAAATTAACATTACACAACATTAAATCATTGACAGTCAGACAGCCAGTCAGAATCAATCCTACTGTGAAGAGCTTTAGCATTTAAAGTGACCTGATCTGGGTATAAACAGATCTTAACAAATCAAGCTGAATCCACTAGATGAAAATATTGAATGAATGAATGAATGAATGCCAAGCTAAATTTTGTTATTTTTGTCAGCTTATATGGGTTTTATAGTGTGTGTTCAGTTTAGTTTTCTAGGTTTGTTGTATCCAAACCAAAAAGATATTGATACATTAAGGCATGGCTCCTGTAGACTGAACTGAAAACTAAACAAAAGTATTGTAAAAGCCTAAACCCCCTATAAAATGTTTTTAATTTAAACTAGGGTTGCATGGTTTACCATTATTATGGTAGTATCACAATACTACTATGGCTGAAAAAAAAATACTGCCGATGCCACTGTGGTTTGTAAACGGTAGTATCGTCATTAATAGTTTATCATTCATTCATTCATTCATTCATTTATTCATTCATTCATTTATTTTCTTTTCAGCTTAGTCCCTTTAATGGTTTATCTAGAATAGATAATGCTGGATGTGGAAAAGTCACCAAAATGATCACACGTTTGTGCAACATTAGACCATTTTATTTGAATAGTCTGTGGAGCCCTTAAAGGTTGCATAACTGTGTAGAATTGGCACCTTTTATGGTAGCCTATTGCATGTTTTCTATTTTTTTAACGCACATCTAAATCGGTTCATTTCTGTTTCTGTCAATATAATTTAGTAGCTACAACAAACGCGACAATCTCTTAAAAAGAACTATTCACAAAGTGAAATTTGCAATTATTTTGGATTGTTACTTGATAAGACTGAGGAAAAAAATAGATGAAAAACCCAAAATAGCAACAGGAAACATTGAAATAATTTTGACCACTTCATATAGCCAAATTTTGTTGGAAAATGCTCTTTTGTAACAAATTTAATTCGGTTTAATTTGTATTTGTATTTTTATTTATTTATTTATTTTTTGGTCAGTTATCTGCAAAATAAAAAGAATGAATCCATTTTAGGTTAAGTGGGGTGCAAAAAATACTTTTTGACCTTAAGGGAATTATGAGTTACATTCAAATAGGCCTATTATAACATAAAATATAGTATATCTGACAAATTTTATATAATTTGAGTTATGAATTACAGTATTGCTATACTACTTGGTATCGTGATACTTAAGCTGGTCTAGTATCGTAAGATTAATTAATGATATCGCGACAACCCTAAACTGAACTGCAGCTGAGTTTATTGGATGAGAATTAATAGCCATCCTATCTGCAGTCTTTTTTTTTTTTTGGTGTACACTAGAGTTATTCAAATGAACAGCAACCGCACTTGAGTTGTTTTTAATTTAAACAAATTTAAAGGCGTGCTTCAAAAACATGGTGCCTGAGTCATATCTACAACTTTCATGATAAATTGACACCATTTTTGCTGAATGGACTCGATTTGACCACTGATTACTGATTTAATTTGACAATTGGGAGATTGATCATGTTGTCTTGGTTCATTTTATCTCCTGGCTGACCAAAAAATGAACAAATTTGTAATTCGTCCACCATAAAAAAGAAAGTCATTGATTCGCCTTCAGCAGCTAATGAGCCAAGCATACTGGATCAAGGTCAGGAAGATCCAAACATTTCGGGTCGCAGCGCTAGTAATACTGTAAACACAAAATGCAGGAAATACAAGATAGTTAAAGATAGAATAAAAATAAATTAAAGATAGCTACCTGTTTTGTTTTGGTTTGTTTTTTTCTCGAAGCAAAGAGTCCCTGACCCAGCCACAGTGCATAATCTGCACTAAAGTTTTTGCTAATGAATGCATGAGGCCCTCCAAATTAATAAGACATTTGTAGATGACCCATCCCCAATACCGCAAGGGGTACCCAAAACAAATGGCTTAGTGAGGTTTTGCTTTTATATTTTACATTAGGCTATTATTTGTGCAGAAACATATCTAGATATAGTAATAAACACACCATTTGTTTGAAACAACATTTGGTTGTCATACATATACTGCAAACTTATATAAGCGATAATGTCAATAAATGTGGAGGGGGGCCTTACAATATTTTCCAGGGGAAAAAAGGGGGTTTTCAGGCAAAGAAAGGTTGGGAACCGTTGCTTGAGTACATCTTCAATGTTCCTCACGTTCAAGAAAGCCTGTGCATAAATTCCACTGGTGATTATCACAGTGCTGGATTGGGAAAAGCAGTTGGGGATTGGGATGCTTGTTCATTACTACTGTAGGGCCTCAAGCGGCTTTTCTCCCCCTTCAATCCAATCAGCCTGGCCACATCGCTCCTGGTGCCAGTGGAGTGGGTTTCTAGAAGGCCTCTGCCTTTATCTGGAACAGGAATGCAGAAAATGCGAAAACAATTGGCGATGGAGCGGCGGTGCTTTCAGAGCCCTGGGGGTGACAAAAGGCTTTCACCCTGCGAGGGCAGAAAAGCTGTTAGAGGGGTGGTCGAAGAGATGGCCTCGCATGGAAAACTCTACTCTTATCTGGGTTAGCGTTTCAGGCCAGACGGTACAATTACACAACCCAGCCCAGAGTGAGAAAGGAGGATGCAGAGTGTCAGGAATGTAGGCAAAGGGCTTTAGGGACATAGTTCGGATGAAATTATTTGTGTCACAAGAGGAAGAAGTATGTAGAGGTGTTGACATGTACTTGAAGTATGCACTTTTAGGCCTTGTGCATCTGGAAAAATTTAATGTAGAGATAGATGCAAATGTTAAACTGGTAAATTTTCAGTTTCTATCAGATCAGCTGTAAGGTTTTGTTTGTTTTGTTGAGGTTAGAATGATGAAGTGTGTATTTTAAAATATATATTTCCATTTCTTAAGTTGGATTTATTTGATTGACTGATTTATTGATTGATTGATTCTTAATTAAACAGTAAGAGGCAAAAAAACTTTCAGTTTCAGGTGACCTATGAAGTTTTATTTATTATTGCTGCTAAAGGGAATTACAATTATAGTGACAAAAAAAGTTTCCCCACAGGTAAACTGTAAAGATTGAAGGTTGCTGAATTTATACATTTAAATGTAAGTTTAATTTTAAAATTAAAAAATTCACATGCCTTCAGGGTATTTATTTATGCACTTATTTTTGTATTTATATATGTTTTTATTTTTGTTATATCCAATATTCAAATTATTTTATTTATTTGAAACTGCTTGAGTTTTATTTGACTTCTCTGACAAAAACATCAAAAATAAAGGTATATTTAATTTACATAAATAGTTAAAATAACAATAAATGTAACAAATTAAAAGCACAACAAATGATAGCCTGACTGTAGTTTGAAAGTAACTTTGTTCGCACTGAAATTTAACGGGTCCAGTGCTTCCCACACATTGAATTTACTTTGGCTGGCTGCCCAGGTATATTAACGGCCGCCCAAGTATATTTGATGCCACTTATTATTATTATTATTATTATTATTATTATTATAAGGGTTTATTATTATTATTATCATCTTTTTACACTTTTTTGCATCCGCACAAGATAACGAACATCCACGATCGATTAAGTAGTGGAAAATGTTCTCTCACCCTACACGTTTCATACCGCTTTTGTGTGTGCGCGAGAACCGTCAACAGTCTCATGTGCTCTGCATCGACCTACAGAGACTTGATTCGTTCAGGGTTTGTAAATCTCCTAAAATGTCGGGGATTCAACTTTTGCTTTTGCTTTCTAAAGCTGTCGTTAAATTTATGCGTTTTTGCAAGTTTTGTTGGCGTAGGTTTCCTCCGGGTGCTCTGGTTTCCCCCACAGTCCACAGACATGCGCTATAGGTGATTTGGCTAGGCAAAATAGTCCATAGTGTATGTGTTAAATGGAAGTGTATGAGTGTTTCCCAGTGATGGGTCGCAGCTGGAAGGACATCCACTACATAAAACATATGCTGGCTAAGTTAGCCGTTCATTCCGCTGTGGTGACCCCTGATTAATTAAGGGACTAAGCCGAAAAGAAAATGAAAGAATGAATTCTTTAATCTGAACGACTCAGAAAAAATTTACAATATACTCGTACACTGTAAAAAATAATATAACATATATGGATTGAGTAACAATTAATTCGTTTTTTAAAGAATGTAGTTGTTTAAAACTCAAATGCGCAGTTTATTTCTAAAGATTGTGTATATTTTTAAATGTCCTTTGACAATTGCTGAGATGTCCACCTCAAGGTCATGACGGGCGCTCATCGCTCGTGTACCTGGCGAGGGCAGCTGGTCCTCGGCTAAACATACTGACTTGTGTGCCCCTGCCTAATTTGAAAATGCTCATTTTAATTACGTTGGATTTAATTGATATTTTCACTTTTTGAAATTATTCAAAAATAACACCTAAATTCTTATAATAAAATTGATTTGATTTTATTACAGACATTTTTAATTAATTTCAAAGCAAAAAAAAAGCCCTAAAATCAGGAAATTTATTTTATTAAATAAAGTGTACATATTAATATTAATCAAATCTACAAGGCCACAAAATGACTTTTTACACTGCAGAGGATGAAATGTCATCTAAACTGACTGCAAAATGTACTGTATATACACCATTAGAAGTGGTTAACCAGATATAATCAGAGATATTGTTTGTTTTATTCCTTTTTTTTGTCATTTATTTCTCATTTGCTGTATGTTTGAATAATTTGATGGTGTAAATATATTACACATTGTATACATGTACTGAATGCTTTGGCAGTACTGTACAAAATGAACTTGACAGAGAAATAGAGCAGCTTTTACCAATAAGATCACATGGCTCCTGAATGGTAAAGAGAAATAGTGGATTTCTTTTTTCATTTTGGAAAAAAACCTTTAACCCATTGAAAAGAAAAAGTAACAGTGTCATAATGAATGAAAATATTGTTAAAAATCACGTTATTTTTTGTTTGTCGCATTTAGTTAACGATTTATGGGCTGTAGGTAAAAGGTGTGTTTCAATCCAGTTTCCCCCGCTAGTATATTTCAAACCTGTGGAAAGCACTGCAGTCTACTGATAAAGTTGCCCTTAAATAGTTAAAATTCCAGACAAATACCATTATTTTCTTTTCTTGTATTACTGAATGCGTAATCACAGCCTTTCGAAAAGCAAACATGCTTTTTTAAAAAGCATTTTTCCACGGTTCGCCCTCCCTCTTTTGTGCAAGCGCTGTGGCCCATACTGATGGGCTGGTAAATAGATGTGCAAAGGGTATTAAAGAAACAATTCATTAGTTGTACATTAAACTGCTAATCAATAAGGCTGCATTAAACTATTAGAGCTGCAGACAGTCTTCTTCAAGCTCACGTCTCTGGGCAAATTATGCCTGGCACTCCCCGCACTCCTCACCCGCCATACAAAGCAGCTCCTCACAAAGCCTCTGAATGGGGCCCCTGAATTTAATTAAAGTCGGAGCTGATTTGGAAAATGTCTAACACATCAGCACTGCCTGGGAGATGCCACATCTCTTTATTAAGGCAGGGTCTTATCTTTTTTTATAGACAGGAGCCAAGGCCGTATGCAGTATGCAGGGCCCTGTCATCTAGATATTGGTGCCAAGAAATTGAGGGAGGGAAATGAATGAAGTTCCTGCAGAAGTGGTGGCACAAGCTTTTTGTTATTTCACAGGGAGATTTGTATTTATTTATTTTTTTATTTGGTCTGTAATTTGTTTCTTCAGACCGTCCTTCTCACATCATCATTATTTATGAGACCAAGAGAATAATCAGAAGATGGATTTGTTATGAAATTGTGTATAATTGATCTCTTCTGTTTATGTTTTGTTCGAACAGATTCACATATAGTTTGCTTACACTTTATTTCATGGTTTTTTTATTACACTATAGTTGTACATTTAAGTACTGAGTAGTATTCATTAACAACATGTATACCTACAGTCAGTGTTAATTGGTTGGTTGGGAGGGTTGCTCTGTATTTTTGTCATGCTTAAGTACAAATATTGAAACTTTCTTACTGTAATTCTAGAAAGATTTACTTGAGAACAAAATGACTACATTTTAAATCTAAAAATATTAAGACAAACTAACCGAAATGATTCTATTTACTCTTAAGACAAGTAAGAATTGAAGGTTTGATGTTAATTTACTAACCATTAGGTCATCCAAAATGTAGACGACTTTCCTGTCAGATGTTTTTAGCAAAAATTTTGGTCGTTGATAATTCAGAAAGGGTGACACAGTGGCTCAGTGGTTAGCACTGTCAGTTCATAGCAAGAAGGTTGCTGGTTCGAGTCCCAGCTGGGTCAGTTGGCATTTCTGTGTGGAGTTTGCATGTTCCTCCCATGTTGTTGAGGGTTTCCTCTGGGTGCTCCGGTTTCTTTTATAGTCCAAAGACATGCGCTATAGGTGAATTGATTAAACTAAATTGTTTGTAGTGTATGTGTGTGAATGTGTGAGTGCGTAGGTGTTTCCCAGTACTGGGTTGCAGCTGGAAGTTCATCCACTGTGTAAAACATATGCTGTATAAGCGATTCATTCTGCTGTGGTGCCCCTAATGAATAAAAGGACTAAGCTGAAGGAAAATTACTAAATGAATGTTAAACAGCTCTTTCAAAAGCAAATATATACTCTATATTAAGGGTTTAATCAATTTAAAATGATTTATTTCAAATATACTCTAATTAATGATGTACACAATGCAATGAATAATTTTTTTCATATTAAATTTGATTGAGAAATCAAAAGAGCAGAATATTTAAAGTCGAAGTTGATTAGTAGACATTTATAAGAAGTGCGCAACATTTTCACAGTAGATAGCATGTTTTATGCAGGAATATAACTGACAAGCTGCAACAGCTCCTTTAAATATGAGATCAATGTAGCGAATTTTGACGCTCTCGCCAACGAAGCTGAAGGCAGACAGGTCGGTCAGAGTGACCTTGGACGCTCTCACTGCTTTCGGTGTGAACGCACAGTAAAAGCGATCCAGAGTTGTAGTCAAAATAACAGGCAGATGGTCAGTACAGGCAGGCAGCATAAAACGTAAACAAACAAAACAAAGCGCAGGTCAAAAACACGGCAAGGCAAGGAAAACACAACCTAATGTTCACTCACAGTTCAAAAAGACCCAGCAAAGTGTGTGTATTTGTGTGCTGTGAATATAGTCCTGAAATCAGTCCATGAGCAGCTTCAGCTGTAAGTTTGCAGTTAGTCAGGATCAGTAACTGGCGGATTTGTAGTTCTATGTGATCTGTGTTTAGCAGCGATCTGCACAGGTTGAATCGCTGGTGACCATGACAACAGCAATATAACAAAAATTAACATATTTTGTCACGTCTCCACTAAATGCATGTTAAATCAAAAACGTTTAGATTTTTGCCGTGGAAAACAAGACTAACCAATTTTATCCATGTGTGATGTCTCATAACAGTGGTGTCTCTTGAATCTAGGCCCAAATGCTGACGCTACGGTCTCTTAAATAACTAAATGACCCCTTTGGTGGTTGTTTGGCACAGTTTAGCACTTACTAGCGGTCATTTCTCTAAATAGCCGTATCCTTTTTCTCCTCTCTCTAAATATGTGGCTCCAGTACCCTGGCCTGTTTAGCTGCATAGCCATATGATGCAGCAGGTTAACGTTCAGGGTCTTCACACTGATGCCAATTAAATCACACGAGTCCATTTAGGAGTCCATTATAGTAGCCAGTAGACATTCATATACTGGATCGCATAAGCTCTCCTATCTGTAGATTTTTGACCTTCTGCTGGATATGAATCTCTGACCTCTGTATGCTAACCCTGTGTTTTTCCTTCATTCTGACCTTGCAGCAGGCCTGGCCATCTGGTACTCAACAGATTCTCCTTCCTCCAGCGTGGCAGCAGCTCACACACACTTCAGTGCAACACGCCACCGTCATCCCAGACTCCATGACCAGCTCACAGCCTCTGGCTAACTGGAGGTGAGACAGCACTACATCAATTTGACTGTCCACCATTGCCTTTCGGTTTTGAGAAAGCGTTATTATTTTTAAAATAGAGTGCAAATTAGTTCTTCAGTCATTTTCTCTTTTGGAAATTGATTTTTAACAGTGACTAATAAACTGTTGAAGAAGGGCCTATTGTGAGCTCTGATATTGTCAATCGATTGTACATGCTTTTGTTGTGTAATAGTGGAATTTGTGCTGAAAATTTGCAGAAAATTCCCCAATCTGAGAGAAAGCCTGTCAGTCATTTTTTAGCTCCACCCACTCCCCCCAAAAAAATCTAAATACATACAGCCATGAAAACAATTCTGGTTAAATAAAAACTTGTGGATTTTTTAGGTTCAGGTAAAGCTTGACCCTTGACCACAAAACCAGTAATAAGGATCTTCTTATGGAAATTGAGATTTATACATTTTATATAAGCTGTAAAAATAATGTTTTGATAGTATATGATCATATTTAGCTGAGATACAACTTTTTGAAGATCTAGAGGGTTACCAAAAAATACAAATATATATATATATATATATATATATATATATATATATATATATATCGTTTCACAGCAAGAAGGTTGCTGGTTTGAGCACCTGCTGGGCCAGTTGGCACTCCTGTGTGGAGTTTGCATGTTCTCCCCGTGTTTCACATATAGACATGCGCTATAAGTGAATTGGATGAGTGTGTGTGTGAATACGAGAGTGTATGGATGTTTCCTAGTACTGGGTTGCAGGTGGAAGGGTGCACCCGCTGCGTAAAACATATGCCGGAATAGTTGGCGGTTCATTCTACTGTGGCGACCCCCAGTGTGCGAATTATACATCAGCGGGGGTCAAATTTTCCAGTAATGTTAGTTTGTGTAATACATGCTTTAGTCATTTATGTATTTATTTAAGTTAAATCTGTTTTATTAATAAAACATATTTAGGCTTTTAGTGTTTTGATATTTAATGTATTCTGACCTACAGTATTCTCTGATTAGCTATTTCAGAGGTTACTGTCGGCCAAACTATACAAACTATATGTCTAATTTAACTTTACTTTCAGGCTATATGTAGAAACAAACAAAGTCTTGTGAAAATTTACGGGGTGAAAATTTGTGAAAATTTTCCATTGGTGCTTTGTAGTTGACTTGTAGTTTCAAACTGTTTTTTTTTTTTCTTAGACTGATTGGTGCGATTATGCATTCACAAAGGTATGAACCTTAATAAGGGTAAAAATGATTATTTAACACAGATCAGAATGAACTATTTCTCAATATTAAAAGGTTGACCCCCATACATCTTGTTTTCATGTCCTCTAGAGGGGATTAAGGGTTAAATAGGGGGTTCAATCCCCCCCAACCCCCCCGTAATTTGCACCCTGGCAACCCCTGATAAAGTACTAGGTCAAAGGAAATTAATGAATGACTTATGTTCTTAATAATCCATATTTCTAGTTTTGATATATTCACTGAAGGAAAAATACTAAATATCTTCACAGAACATGTTCCTTACTTAATATTCAAAAAAAAAATCTCGAAAAACTAAAGTCAGTAATTTGACCTTATAATTTATTCTATTTCAATTAATTTTCTTTCAAATTGCCCCCAAAAATGTTATTTACACTGTTAAAAAAATATATGAACAATTAGTCCTGCCAGCATATGTTTTTAGTTCATTGTAACTTATTAAACTACGTTAATCGTGTTTAAATTTAATTTTATAAGTTATGCAAGCAGTTTTTGGTCAGTTTAACATAATATAAGTTTAATGGAAATTTGACTCAGCTTAAAAATTTAAGGTAACCAGGAATTTTTTACAGTGTAGAGCTTTTTTGAAAAATAGAATAGCTCTGTATTACAATTGTATTTCATGTGGTTGAAAATCTGGATTATTCTGCCAAATATAGATTTCTTGAAACTGGTAGTTTGCAAAATATTTTGAATATTCAAATATTAAAAATATGCAAATATTTAAGTAGATTTAGTGGCTTTGACATTAGCACCGTTGAACATGATTGTTATTAAAAAAAGAAATAATGTTCTTTAAAGGCAAAACAAAAGCTCTTACTATCAAATAACCTCATAGCTCGTAGGTCTGCCTATAAATGTGAATGTACAAAATCAATTTCTTTATTGTGAAAATGAATGAGTTTTTTTATTTCTGCAACCCAACTGTTCCACTCTATTCCATTTCGAGATGTTGATGCCACAGAAGCTTTCCTCTCTTGTTTGTTTTATTTAGCTAAGCAGATCTGCTAGTTTCATCATGCTTAATAGAGACTCCATTAGCATTTAAAAAATCTATTATATCCTCGCGAAAACATACTTGTAGCACGCTGATTATAAACAGGTCATGTGGAACTCAACAGATCTGATGATCCATATATTTCACTGTGATTTGGTATCGCAACACTGGGTTTTAATAATCTCCTAGATTATGAACTAAAGCAGATTGAATTATCCAGGTTGCTTAGTCTGCAAATGCACCTACAAAGCCAACATGCCTTTGAATTATTCATTTGAAAGGAAGGAAAGAGAATATTTTAAGTCTGATTCTCATTATATTCTAAATGGGTATGTAATTTATGTTGGTTTTTTTGTATTAAAACAGTTTTTCTGGCTAGGTGAGGATAATGGAGTCAGGTCTTGCTGACCAGCATGAAGTGAATGTATCACTGATGAATGTGTGCTGATATCTGCAGATCATCACATCAGCGCCTTAAGCTCAGCCTGGAGGGCTCGGTAGTCCTGAGCTGAAAAAGTGTCGCACTTTTACTGCAGAGATAGAGCTTTTCTCCGAGATCTCCTTCTGTTCTCTGCTTATCTGATGTTTATTGCAGGCACTGCTGCCCTCTTTGGCCAAATGTTGCATTGCATTTAATCCTCATTTAGATACTGTACATGATTCAAGATGATGATCATACCTGTCAACATTGGGATGTTAAAATAAGAGATATGCCCACCATAAAATAAATAAATAAAATTTCCCCAAATCAATAAATATATTTTTTTCTGGAGCTGTTTCATTGTAAATAAACAGTTTAAATGGTAAGTGATAAGTTTTATTATTACTATTTACAAAGGAAAAAATAAATAGTATACATTAGCAGCAAATAAATTAGTAAACAGTTTAGCTTTTTAAAATTAATAGCTATTATAAAGAAATATAATCAAGTTATCAAATCTCATTAATCTGTTCCTCACTGTATAAATTACACATTCTGATCAAACAGCAACGAATAAATATCATTCATATAGATTTTTGATTTTTGAAAAAAAAAAAAAACACCAAGATCGACATCTTTAGATGTTATTATTATTAATTATGTGGATATGTCTGTTCAAACATGCACCCAAAACCCAGACTTTCGCTCCACTTCAAATCGTATGTGCAGAATCTGTTTGGGAAAAAACGTCTATTTATCACTATAGAGTGCGTCGAGGGGTGCGTTTTCATTTTCCTGTAATGAAAAAGAAGGGAATCGTGCCATTTGTATATTTTCTTTCGTGTTTTCTTGCCTAAATAAAACGAATGCACAGAACAGACTCGCATTGAAGAGCAAGGGGCGCCCCCTGGTGGCTCAGCGGTATGGGTTGCATATAGGGAGGATTGGCTCTTAATGTTTATTGCCACCCTTCATAGAAAGAATGAAAATACGGGAGAAATATGGGAAAATACCTTTACGGGATGTTAGCAGGATAGAACTAAAAAACGGGAGAATCTCGGGAAAAACAGGAGGGTTGACAGAATACAGACATTATTCTATCTACATTAATTAGCAACATTAGTTAATGTGTTCATTTTTACTCATAGTGCATTAACTAATGTAAACAAGCACAATTTTAGATTTTAATAATGCATTAGTAGGTGTTATTAATAATAAATGCTGTACAAGTATTTTAGTTCATTTTTAGTTCATTTCAATTTTTCTAACATTGATTAAAGCTTGTAGTTAAGTGTGTTCTTAATGTTAGTGCTTAAAGTTTGGGATTAGGTTTTATTTTATTAATCAAGAATGCATTACATTTATGACATTTAAATGTTTACAACAACTGCTGTTCTTGTGAAGATGTTTTTTTGGTGGAAGACTGTATAGGATAAACAGCTCAACCATTTTCAACAGTGAAAATCGTAAGAAATGTGAATTGTGCATCAAATCAGCATATTAGAAAAAATCTCTGTTGGATCACGTGACATTGGCGAGTAAAGAAATACTGAAAAATCTACTTTTTTTTATTACAGACAGAAATGTCTTTTAAAAAAAACTGCAACCTTGGTGAGAAAGATGCTTTACCTTTTATAAAAACATTACAAAATCTTGCCAATTCCACACTTTGGAACATTTCTGCACTCATAAAAGGACATTTTTTAATCATGCTTGTTTTGTTTGTTTCAGGAATTCCCATCCCCATGGCAGCCATTACAATCCCATTATGCAACAGCCAGCCTTACTGGCAGGTCACGTCACCCTGCCCCCTCAGCAACCTCTTAATGTGGGTGTGGCTCATGTCATGAGACAGCCATCCAACAACCAATCAAACTCCAAAAAGAACAAGCAGCACCAGATGAACAACAGGTCAGATATCCCTTACTTTATACAAACAAGCAACAAAAATGCACCAGATTTACTGTGTTTAGATTCGGTGGAAATCAGACAGGATATTGTTTTAAGTGTTCAACTTTGACAAAAAACCTTTTTTGGGATGGGGTGGCACAAGGATCACTGGGATTAAAGGGATAGTTTACCTAAAAATGAAAAAATACTGTTTACTCACCCTCAATTGCTGCTCTGGTTTCTTAATTCTGATGAACTATTAGGACAGTATTTGAAGAAAGCTGGAATTAGGTAACCAATCACTTAAAATAATAATAATAATAATATTTTGGAAGTCAATAGTTACTGGTTTCTAGCATTCTTCTTTTATTTTTAGCAGTAAAACGAAACTTAAGCAGGTTTGTGACAAGTGAAGGGAGAGTAAACGATGACAGAATTTTTTGTTTTATGGTCAGCTATCCCTTTAAAGCAATTGTAGTATAAAAAGGGAATACACAACTAAAATTTCTGAAGGTTACACTACTGGAGGCAAACATGAGCAGAAAGTGTACAGGCCCTTGAATGACAGCACATCTGCAGCCACAGCACATTACTAGTCTTTCACATTAGTGATGCACAGGGAAGACTCCACATGTTGCTGTAGTCCCTTTAGGATGGCTTTAGGTTTCAGACACTTTAGAACAGCTTACCATCTTGCCAAGTCAGTGAAAACTGGAAAGTTAAGCTGCCAGTTAAATAGGGCTTGTCAGATAATTCAGGAATTTGGCAGCAGACACCAGATTAACAGCAACAACTTGCGGGTACATTTACAAGTGTTCTGTCATTTTTATCAATGTTTTTATTTCTCTAAATAGCTCACTTAAATGGATAGTTCACCCAAAACTGAAATAATCATTTACTCACCCTAATTAAATAAATATATTACAAAAGTACTGATATATATTCTTTCACAGGAACGTGTCAGGGTACGACGTGTCCTCCACCCAGCCGGTGACGTCACCTCAGCGCTCCAAACGGGTGAAAGAGAACACCCCGCCTCGCTGTGCCGTGGTTCAAAATGGCCCTCCCTCCACCTGCGTCCCATCACAGACCTGCACAGGCGGTGGATGGGGAGGTGAACAGGCATGTAGCACTACTCGAGACCACCACGGTCAACACAACCCACCACGCCAAACCATCATCATCCCCGACACCCCGAGCCCAGCGGTCAGCATCATCACCATCAGCAGTGACACGGATGAGGAGGATGACCTCAAACAACCCACTAACACCAGGTCAGAAAAATGGGTCGAGCTGTAATGAGACATATTTGTGAGCTAAAGCGGGAAATGATGTAGGGCATAATCTGTTTTTTTTTTCCCAGTAGGAATTGATTAGATTGTGTTAATGTTTGGATTATTGAATAGAACTTAGCTGGATGAGGAGACTATTGTCATCTGCAGAGTTGCTTTATTTAAAGAATATGAACCCAAGCTGTTTAATGATTAATTAATTTTGCAGCATCAACAATCATTTAATTTTCAAAGTGTAAAGTAACTCATTACTTTTTTTTTTAAGTAATAATATTTAAGTTACTGTTTTTAAAATATAATGTGAGTTACTTGTTAGTTTAATTAATTAGCTTTAAAAAAAATCATTCATTTATTATTTGTTATTGGCTTAGCCCCTTTATTATTCTGGGGTCGCCACAGCCGAATGAACCACTAACTAAGCCGAAAAGAAAATGAATGAATGAATGAATGAATGAATGAATGAATTAATTAATTAATTAATTAATAAATGATTGGATGAATAAATGAAATGATACAATTCTTGAGGTTTTTTAGGACAACTTAATTGTTTTATGTTCAATCTACTTAAATTTAGAAAAACAAACAAGGTAACTTAGTTCCTTTATGTTGTCCTAACACAAATCAATTGTGTGGAACCCATCATTATGTTTATTCCAGACTTGTTTGAGTTTTCTTCTTCTGTTGAACACAGTAGAAGATATTTTTAAGAATGTTTGAAACTGGTAGCTATTAGCTATGCTTCCATCCAAAGACGCGAATTATACTTTGCGCAAAACAGGGAATATTGCATAAACCATTAAAACCAGCTAAATCCACATCTGCTTTTTATGCAAAACCCTCTAAATCCACCTATTGGAACAAGACCGTGTAATTAGCTAAAAATGAAGATGCCATTAGAAATTATTTTACCAAACATTAAACACATTTCACAAACCACCTGAAATTTAAAATATATAAATCTGTCATGCAAGTGGTGGTTCATTCTGTTGTGATAAATCAGGGAAAAAACTGAAGGAAAATGAATGAAATCTGTCAAGTAAGTGCATTAATCGATAACATTAAACTGAAATGAATTAAATCTTTACTATCTGTTGTCATTTTTGATATTTAGGATTTGGATTTAATGTAAGTAAAACAATTTAAACATTGCAAATTTTGTAAGCGAAGCTTGGTAGAGTCAAATAATGTAGTGTAAAAACATTGTGAAACACCAATATCTGTGCATTGTGCATTACTATAAAAAGCTTATCAGATTTATAGGTATTATGAAGTAATATAAATAATGTATAGTTTTATACATTATATTTATCTTTTAAAAATAGCTTAAAATAGCAAATAAAACACAAGGTAGGCTCACTGGGCAAAAAGGAGATGCCTCTCAGACAATTTTAGAAGCTGCCATTCATTCATTCATTGATTCTCCCCATGCTTAAGGTCTTGGTCCTGTGTTTATCCTCATAGCATCCACGTGGGATAAAAGAACGGCATCTTAACTCTGTCTTTCCTGAAATGGAGTTGCAGTTTACTGTATAGTAAACGGACTCATTTAAAGTAGTGGCAGTGTAAACAGGGCCAAAGATTCTTCTAAATACAGTGTTTTATGTTCAACAGGAAAAAGAAACAATTTATATTGTTTAATGTGCTATATAAGTAAAGGTAAGCTTGATTAATGTTATTTGTTAATGTTTTTTTCCATCCTGTGTGCTTGATTTTGTCAAAGTCATTTCAGAGGCAAAGCTATTACAATTTGATGAACGTTTATAAAAAACAATTTGTGGAATCACTGATGAATCATGAGCTACAAGTCCAGGCTCCATTTTGACATTTAAATGCCTATTCAGATCAGGGAAAATACTAGATAATGCCTTAACAATGAATTATGGGGTTTGGGGAGCTTTATGTACTGCTCAACAAATACACAGTGAAGTATTATTACACAAAAAGTGCTTGAATAACCTCACAAGCAAACCACTTTGTTTGTATTTCTAACGAGTCACTCAAGCATTATAATTAACCTACGGTTTTATGTTGTTTACAGCACATCATCCAAACAGAGGAAGAATGTCATCAGCTGTGTGACCGTTCACGATTCCCCTGACTCTGATTCCAGCAATACCAGCCCTTACGCTGTGGACTCCCGGACCAATGGCCCCAACGCCAATGGCTACGACTCTAAAGGTGCAGTCCTGGATAACTACAGCAATGGGAACCCCCGCACCATCATCATCCCCCCGCTGAAGAGCCAGACCAGCGAAAATCTGGGAGAGTGTGATAGACTCTTGCCTGGTGAGACAGGGGAAAGGCTGATAAGATGACAGAGAAAAAGGGGATTCTGGCAGGGCCTGAATCAAGCATCAATTTAAAGTGACAATTCACTGACAGCCTCTGATATGCAGCGCAGATTTATGTGGCATTTCAGAATCTATGGGTTGTAAATATAGTTTGAGAGGTAATTCAGCTAAGCTTGCCAGAGGAATATTTTATGACAATGCAAGCTCAAGTGGGATGACTGTTATTGTTTTTTAAATAGTATTATACAGAGTTCAGGAATACTTTATAATTTGTCAGTCATAGCATTCTGCTGTGAAATACATTTTAATGATAATATTTACACACTTACTACAATTAACACAATATAATCTGTATTTTATATTTTTAAATGTATATATTCCACTTCTATTTAATTTATATTTAACACAATATAATCTAAATATGTTTAAATATATGTTATGTTCAGTGTTGCCAGATATAGCGGACTTTTTCCAGCCCAATATCTGTCCAAAACCCGCCAAAGCGCACAAAAAAATCCCCAAAATATTAGATTAATATTTTATTTAATTGTAATGTATTTAAATTAAGCTAGTTACTTTGACTGTGATATTTTTAACTATACAACAACCAACACCAGCAGTCACAGAACCACAGCAGGCCCCCTCTCACCCACAAACTGCACTTAATGTTAGAGTATGTTTTACTTTAGAAATAGGTTAAATTCTCCCCGGTTGGTGTTTTAAATTCTTATGAACATAATTAGGTGCTGCTTGTCAATCAGACAATGCTTCTAAGTTTGTTCTTGCTGTCAATTGCGGAAAAAAATTGATAAAATGTCATGATGAACCCCTGTGAGTTTTACTGCAGGCGTTGCGAGATGTGCGTGCACAAGAGGGGAGTTAGATTTGTCGGTCACACTTTACAATACGGTTCATAAGTTAATGTTAATTAATGCATTTACTAACATGAACAAACTATGAATAATACATCTACTACCGTATTTGTTCATGCTAGTTAACGTTAGTTAATGAAAATACAGTTGTTCATTGTTAGTTCATGTTAACTCATGGTTTATTAACTAGTTATGTTAACAAGCATGGACTTGGATGTTAATAATGCTTTAGTTAATGTTCAATTATGATTAATAAATACTGTACAAGTGTATTTCATTATTAGTTAGTAAATGCATTAACTAATGAACCTTATTGTAAAGTGTTACCGATTTGTCCAAGGAGTCAGATTTTGATACAACTTTCCTTCACCTCCTCTTGTGGGTGGGCGCACGTGGTTTGCGCTATGCACTGGTCACTACTAACTTAATGGAGTAGGAGCACAAGAGTTATGTTTTGTTGAATAAGTTGCAAATAAAAGTTACGTTTCAAAAACACCCATATTTTGTCAATCCGCCAATGCCATTTTTTACCCGCACAATCAAATTTAAAACCGCCCAATCTGGCAACACTGTGTTTTCATTATTACCTTATAAAATCTAAACAATTATAAGGAGTATATTGTAATAAATACATTAATTAATTTTCTTTAGAAAACAATTTATTTCTTTAGACATCTCTAATCCGATTATCGTTTATTTTTTTATTTACTTTAGGAAGTGGAACTGTTATAATTGAGATGCCAGCTTTATTGTTGTTACTCATAAAAAAAAATTGCTTAATATATTTGATCAATTCCAGCAGATGTCATGAACCACCAGAACTCCACCTACAAGTTCAAAACCTCCAATGGAGGCTTCTCTGGCAACAACCACACATCAGGAGGAGTGACAGGAGGTGGGGCATACCGGCAGCAGCGCACAGGACCACACCCCTTTCAGCAGCAGCCTCTAAATCTCAGCCAGGTATTTCCATTGATTATCTTATATCAGCTTTCTTAGGCCCCGTTTACACTGTCAGGTCTGGATGCCCAATTCCGATTTGTTGCCTATATCTGAATTTTTTTTGCCTGTCCATTAACACGTTCTTGTAATTGTGACCCATAACCAATTCATGTGTTCACACTTACCATAAAAATTACAATGTTGTGCATGCGTAAAGGTGGGTTTTAGCATCTGCGCCACACTAGCCTCGATTGAAGAAATTGTCTTGCTTTACACGGTCATAGAACAGATCCGATCTGTGTCACATATGAGCAAAAAATCAGAACTGGGTCACATTTAACTGGTAGTGTAAACGGGGCCATAGATCATATATTAATCTATAAAAGTAATACGGTCATATCACCTCATTTAGGCCCAGCAGCACATGGCAGTTGAGCGTAACGGAGGTCACCGGCGGCAGCAGGCATACATCACCCCCACTATGGCCACCCAGGCGCAGTACTCCTTCCACAACAGCCCCACCCACACGGCTAACGTTCACCCGCACCTGGCCGCTCCACATCTGCCTGGGCAACCACACCTCTACACTTACACTGCCCCTGCTGCCCTGGGCTCCACTGGCACAGTGGCCCACCTGGTCGCTTCGCAGGGTTCAGCTCGTCACGCAGTCCAGCACGCCAGCTATCCTCCAGGCATTGTCCACCAGGTGCCTGTAAGCATGGGTCACCGCGTGCTGCCCTCGCCCACCCTTCACCATGGCCAATACCAGGCCCAATTTGCCCACCAGACCTACATCAGTGCTTCTCCTGTCTACACTGGATACCCGCTGAGCCCCACCAAGATGAACCAGTACCCTTACCTCTAAAGCTGAAACACTGGAGCCCAGCCAATCGCTGCTTACCATTTCTCCCCTTATCCCACCTAGAGACAGAGAGACATGCTGAAGCCTATCGACCCTTAACCCCATCCCCTTGTTCCTGTCATGCTTAAACTTGAAGACAATGAAGACGCCGACGGATAGAGGTAGTGTACTCTGAGAGGGAACAGAAGGGTACTGAGGAACTTTCTTTTCAGATGAGTTTTATTTCGCCTTCTCAAAAGGGCCAGTTAACGTTTTATTTCTTGATCTGGAGGTTTTGTTTCTTTTAAAACAGAAGGAGTTTTGTTTTGTTTTTCTTTCGCAACAAGGTCTCATCAACAGGCCGTTTGGGAGAGACAGAGTTCCATTCAGCGGAGATTTTGTTTGCTTTTCGCTTTCTTGAAATCATTCACTGACTGTTGAGCCGAGGTCACGACGTGGATGTTGTGAATTCCTACATGATTTTTTTTTGGATAAGGTGAAATACGGATATCTGCTGCTCTTCAAAGAAAAAAACAACAACGATGGCCTTGAACTGTCTTAAACGTTTCCAAATTAAATGCGACGAGCGGTATTGTGCATTCTCCGCTGCGCTCTCTCCGAAAAAAGAAGAAAAAAAACACCTGGAGGAATCTTCTGGAAATAGGACGACAAAACTTTTTAGTGTATTTATAGACTTTTCTTTGTTTTGTGTTCACAATTAGAAAAGGAAATATGTTTGTCATACCGTAGTTCGTTAGCTGGGCCCCTCTTTGTAGAATGTAGCAGTCTGCACCCGTTGATTTAATGAAGAACCTTTCTGATACCAATAGATACTCGTTTTTCCTCTTTCAATGTGATTGCACAAAGTGGTTACAATAACATAGGCATGTTCAACACGGTAGTCAGTTGTGCGTTTGCGTGCATGTGTGCGCTCAGCACATCTGTGCGACGTATTCCTCCACAGTCTTAGGTTTATCATTGTTACCTCGTAGTGCCTTACATATATTACGACAGTTTACTTGGCTGGAAACCCTCTAGAACCAGATGCTAGTCAGAGAGTTGGCTCCTAGGTTGAACATTTTCATCCGAGCTGTTTCCTGTGTGTGTGTTTTGTTTTGTTCTTTAAGTTCCAGGCGTAAGCGATAGCCCTAAACGTTATTTAAATGCTTCTCGTTTAGCGTGCATGAGGTCTTTTACATTTAAAGATAAACGTACTTGCCTGGGGTAATGAACCAAAGTCGTCATTTTAAAGATAAGTAACTTTTGTTCTGGATAGTGGATATAATTATATATAGCGTATTTACTGTACATACCGTAGCTATGCGTTTTAGTCACCTTGCGATCAATGCAATGACACCTGATTTATGCTGTACATGTCATGAAAGGGAGACTAAAAGGATATTTGACGGAAAAAGCCAAGTATCATTCAATCAGTTTGAGATCGGGAGCACAATTTGTTTAATATTAAAATAAAACACACCAGGTCTAAAGAGGTTGTCTGTTTATGGAAGGCTGGACTTGAGCCAGAAGCAGAAATGGCTTAGAAACCTGGGAGGGTTCGAGAAGGAGATTCTTGTTAGGAGTGGATGAGGTTGCGAACTTGTGGATTTTGATGGGAATTGTTGGGAAGCGAGAGGGCGAATTCCACATTTTTAATGAGAATTAGCATGTTGGCTTTGAGCATGTTGGTATTGTAGATGCTGAAGGAAGCCGTGCAGCGTGACTGCACACCACACTCTGAGTTAAGTGCTCAGTCGAGGTTCTGCAAAGATCTGTGGGGTTTTGATTCTCACGTACACTTTAGGGGTCCAAACAGCCCCACTGCATGAGGATGTCAAGAACAACATGCACCGGAAATCAAAATTGGCTTAGTCTTTTTTTCACTGGTTGTCTTACTGTAGGACTCACTAATGCTACCGGTGTCACGTCAGTAAAGAAATAATGAAAGTGTAGAAAACTGTGGGCCAATGCTTGTCTTATTGCTGCTTAATTTAAAGTTGATATGCTAGCCAATCATTTACACCGTGTCCTAACCATGTGCTCTGCAGTAAAGTTATTTAAAAGATAAGAAAGAATTATATAGTATATTATATATACTCTATCTTTAAACATATTGGTGTTATGTGTCATAATTAAAAAAAGAAAGAAAACTATGCTTTTATTCAGGAAGCACTGATTGATCAAAAGTGAAAATAGAGACATTTTTAATTTTACAAAATGTTATTTTAAGTATATGCTGTTCTTTTAAACGTTCTATTTTTCAAAGTATCATGAAAAAACTGCCTCACAATTTCTCAACATAGACTCATTCTGAAAGCGTAGTCCTATATACATTTCTGGAGATCGGAAATTATGTAGCCAGAAGTACTCATGCGTACTACATGAAATTTTTTAAATAAACACTACATGGCAGTATGTTGTCGTTCCTTTACCAGCTTACTGCTTACCTTTGTATGGACGGCTTTCTAGCTGTTACCAGTTCGTCCAGTTAGCTCTTCATGTACATCGGTGGACTTTAGACTCTAAGAGGAGATGACCAGGTTGATGGGGTTCGAGTCTGGTGAAAAACGCTTCCAGAAAGCGGGTAAAACAAAAACAGAACATGAAAATTAAATGAACAAGTAAATAACAAGGTGAAAATGTGGTAAAACATGGTAAAAATCAGGCTTTTCTTTTTCTGAATTGCTTTTTAAGTTTGTCAGTTGGTTTTAGGGAACAGGGTGAGCAGGTCAATCTGTGTTTTTTAAAATACTATTGGTTGGGTTAAGGAAAGGAAGGGGTGGGTCAGTCAGTCAAACAGTCAGTCAACAGCGCACTCTGGTGGAGAACAACAGGCACTTATGGCACTCGCGAGAGAAATTTGAGATCTCAAAAAACGTACACAGTGGCCTCTCGTGGATTTGTGAAAAAAAAAACTGCAAAAAAACGTAGTTCCTGGGAAGTATTTAACGGTCTCCAGTAATGTACAGAAATGGCTACTGAGAATCCACGACACACCTCCACAGTAAAGTGCGTGAACCTGCAACATGGTATTACACCAGAAATACATGGCCAACAGGGGGCAGTTATGTAACATGGTAAGCATACTGAACTGATCCAATATACTGAGCACGTGAGCTACCTGTAAACGGTGTGAAAACGCCATTCTTTAGGCAGCTGTGTGTGTTATCTTTTACTATAGAGTTTAACTGGTTAAAATGCCGATTTTGAAGTGTCTATTTAGGCTAAGAGCAGATAGCGCACCTCTTTGGAATAAGCTGTATACAGAGTTACATTATCAGAATGAGCCTGGGTTGCAATTTCTACAAAAATATTAAGTTAATGAAAAATAATAATAGCTGTAATAAATGTTTCTTCGCCAAATGCAGCATGATAAAATGATTTCAGAGGGATTGTGTGAAACTGAGGACTGGAGTTATGATGCTAAAAAATTGCTTTGCTTAGGAATAAATTGCAGGAAAACAAAAGAATGTTATATATTTAACAAAAAAACAGATATTCAAAATTGTACCAATATTTCACAGTATTACTGTTTTACTGTACTTTTGGCCAAATAAATGCAGCATATGAAACTTAAAATAAATAAATAAATAAATAAAAATTAAATTAAACTGTGGCACCCACAAACTTGAAAATCAGTACAACCATAAGGAAAAGGAAAAACTAAACAACTAAAAAAAAAAATATTATATCATTATTTAATGGATTGGAATAAATATAATAAAGTGACAAAAATAAAAGCAAGAATAGACAGAACACCTGCTGCAATATCTACTGTTTAGCCCCGCCCTCATTGAAATCTCATTGGTTCAGAATAGTTTGCATAACTTAAAGCTAAACCTCAGATATGGATTGGCTTTGCTTTAGCGTTTTTTATGCATCTGGTTAGGACACAGTGCTTGTTTTGTTTTGATGTTGTCTAACGTGCACATTCTTATAGAGCAAGGGTCACCCATCTTGTTCCTGGAGGTACGGCTCCCTGCAGGGTTTAGCTCTAACTTGCCTCAACACATCTGCCTGGTTGTTTCAGGTATACCTAGTACAACCTTGATTACCTTGTTGGGTGGGTTTGATTAGGGTTGAAGCTAAAATCTGCAGGACACCGACCCTCCAGGAACAAGTTTGGTGATCCCTGTTATAGAGTATGAATTACAGTATATTCCGTCTGCCCTACTTGCATTTGAAGTAGTTTATGTTATTCTGTTGCTAGTTATGATGTGTTCTCGTATAGAGTGTTGCAATAATGTTTGTGGATGTTTATTCATTAATTGTCTTTTTTTATATATTTCAAGCATCGTCTCTTTGATTTCTGGTGGTCACTGTGTAATTGTGATATTTAGTATTCTACATCTGGTAGAAAGCATTGTCCAATGTGCTCGGCTAAGGTCTGACACTATTGTAACTCAAGCCTTCCAACTGGAGCTCGTCAGATTGATTCATAAAGCTGCGTGTTATGACGTAGAATGCCAATAGACTTACGTTGTTAATGTTGTATGTTTGCTTAAGCTTAAGTTGGATGCTCATTCAAGCACACAGTTGAGAAAGGCTCCTTCGATGTTAGTTGCATAAAACATTCCATTCCGGAAGGAGCCGTTTCTGACTGCACTGATCTGTAGTCTCCAGTCTGTCTCACCTCACAGGGACCGGCCTGTACGACCAAATCGGGACTCCGCTGGCATTCAAGGACTTTTTTGTTCTTCCCACCAAAGAAATTCAGCATGTCGTTGATGCACAGACGTGTCTCTTGCTGAAATGGAAAAGATAGACTGAGTTTGAGTCATATTTGGAAAGCATAAAAAAAAAAGAAACAGATCAGGTCGGTGTCAGAAAGAATCCTGTAGATGGCATACACACAATGAGATGACATAAATAATGCACTCTCATGATCTTAGTGCAGTTGCTGTTAGCACAGTGTACTCCATCGTTTTTGTACCGTTCTTATATCTTTTATCAGTGTTAGCGAGTACAAATCTCCCAGTTTTTGGATCTGACTAGTGTAGGAAAAAACGCCTTTGTTTTTGTTGTTTTTTGAAAAATGTCAAAGCTACACTTTGTTTATTAAAGCTGCCGTGTGTGATTCTGTACTAAAGTTAAATGTAGAATGACGTACTGAAGAGGCTTCACTATGACACAGCGGCATGTAAGATGGGGGTGTGGCTTTTTTTATTTGACCACTGGAAAGTCTGGGGTGCGTTTTGAACATTTTAGCAGTTCTGCTGCCACTAGTGATGCAGAAATTATACTGCAGCTTTAAGTTTTGGCTTTTGCAAGCTTTAATATGTTGGTTTAAATTATAGAGGACGCTTACACGACACTGTTTGAAACTAAAACGGAAGATTTGTTATGCTTTTGTCCGTTCATTCACATGCATTTTTTTGGGGTCTGAAAAGAAATCTTTGAAAATGGGCTTCAAAGTACCAATATAATTTCTGTGTGTGCAAAAAAAAATGGTTTACATGGACATCAGTAATCGAATTGTTTGCCTTAATAAATGAATGAATAAGAATGAATAAGAGAATAATATGATTAAGGTGTTTACATGAGTTTCACATGTTATAGCACATAGTTCAATTAACGTCACTGCGCTATTCACATTTCCTCATGTAATTTTGTATGTGTCATTCTTAATTTGTCGACTTTAACTGCATTTCGTTACTTTAACTTTCATTTGGGAACATTTCATGCATGCCCCGCTTGAAAAACAAGATATTAACCGCTGGAATAGTGTAGTTTTAATGGAATTTGATATTAATATCCTTTTGCAAAATGCTGTGAAAATCCTACATGACAGTAATAGTTTAAGATGTTTACATGTCTGTACTGCTCTTCAATAATGTCTCTAAAATCTGCATACTCCACAATTCGATTTCTGTTTTGTTCGATTATGACCTTAATCAGATTAAATAAATCAAAAATAGCTGTTTACATGGTAGACTCTTAATAAAATCCGATTATTGGTGTCCATGTACTGTAAACATACTCAATTAAGGATTACAGGAATATGTTTGAAACATTCAAGATACTACAATGTGACATTGTCACTTGCCTGGCATGCACTACACAGACCTTTTAGAAGTCGTCTGTATTTAAAATGAAAAGTGTAATGTCGTGTAAACGTACTCCCAAAATATTTAAAAACATTTGTTCTCCTTATAGTGGCCTATGAATTAAATCAGTGCTGTTACCTTTAATGAAATTGTCCCTATTATGAAATGAATGTACAATTAGAGAAACAAAATCTGATATGTATTACGATCGCTATGGTTAGTAATCACAGCAAAGTCTCAAAAGAATGAAATTACTTTAATCAATAATTCAATTTTAATTGTCATCCACATTATGCATTTTAATGTGTTTAGAATCGTGTTTGATGTGTAAATCATGAAAAGATCTATGAAGACAGTCATTTTGTTACTGTCAAACATTTAACCTTTTTTTTTTTTTTTGCAACTTTCCAGCAAACAATCTAATGTTTAATAGACATCTAAACGTAGACAGCTTGGCTAAAATAAGGCTAAACTTGGGCAGTCAGTGATTATCTAATAGACATCTAAGAATAGCCCAAAACTAGACTAGTCGTCAGATAGACAGATTAGACAGACTTCATATGTGTAGTCTTTCATTTCTGTTTATTTGATGACTAGTCTAGTTTTGCTCTATTCATAGACTTCTATTAGATTTTCACTAAAACCGAAAAATGTAGCCTTATTTTAGCAAAGACGACTATTTTTAGATGTCTATTAGACATCTATAAGACATCTTTTAAAAACAATACATGCTTGCTGGGTTATGTCAAATAGAAATTCCTTAAGTATCGTACGCACAAAGCTTTAAGGAACCATGAATATGTGCTCTATTTGTGGTTTGGTGAAGCCCAGGGTTTTGTCACACATTGAATATACAACGTACAATCAAAATCCAACTTCCGACTTGACTGAAAAGCCATGGATTCTGCCAATATAAGGATTGAAAAACATTCCTAAACACTCATTGCCAGTCAAAGCCCTGTCGAATGGCTCTCAAAACACTTTTAAAGCACATGATCATGAACTAAAGCTTGCAAGCTTGTATTTTATGTCAATGAAGTGGCCACAGTACTTGTAAAACTGCTTTTGTTCTTCTAGTTTCTGATTTTTTTCTCTCATGTGTGGGCTCATACGCAAGCATTAGAGGTTAAATCAATCATTGAATTTATGTTTGAATGTGCTAAGAGGCCAAATACGACAACACGGCCATCTGCATATTGTTTTAGAACCAAAAAAAGAGCTAAACAATATTCGTTATGCCCAAGAACACTCGTTTTTTTAGTCATAGTCCCTGTCAAGAGTGTTTTACAGAGTGACATTACTACAGATGTGTAAAGCGTAACCTAGTCGCACGTAGAAAAGAAACACCATTGAATGCAAGTGAACTACTTTGTGCAGAACTGTCCTTCATCCCACGAGTCGCCACCGTAACCTGTTATGTAGCTGTGATGCACTGTAGCCGTTTGTGCAGCCATCGAGGAATTTTCTACTTGCACAGCAGCGAACATTCACAGTCGAAATGTAAAAACTAAATATTTTTCTACAATGTTTCAAGACCTAAGAAAGCATCCGACCCCCCGACCCCTGATTTTTGTCGATTGCTGTATGGTTTTCTCAGTAGTGTGTATCACATTAGTTGTTGTCAAAGCTATCGTGTGCTGCAGTATTTCCAGGTATACTTCTTTGTTTATTGTCCTATTTTTTATTATAATTATTATCATTTTGCTTTGTTTCTTGGGGATTTGAAGACGTGTGGTGTCTAATTATTTCGATCTGTTAACGTAGCATTATATGTACCCTGTACCTTAGGCTAATATTATTAAGTATGCTATGAGAATGGATATTTTACTGGCTTTATAGAATGTTAAAATGAATATAATAATGACAATAATAAGAATGATTTAACTCCTAAAAATTGAGTACTTGCTTCTAAGCGCTTGTGTTACCATTACAAATGTTGTGTGCTTCTCTTAATGATTTTCGTTGTAGAAAAAAAAACGCAAAAAAACAAACCTGAGTGAATTTTATTAGGCTTCGACAACTAATGATAGCAGTGTAAATTCATGGAGGATTTTTAACAAACCTGGGGGTTAGAGAAGAATATAGTTATTTTAATCGTTCTATTTACTAACTGTAGGGTGTGAAGGGGCTCGCGTCGTGGTGAACTATGTTATAGCTTGTTATTCACTGTTACTTTTGATCATTTTTCGGTCTCCAAGGTGAATCGAGTTATTAAAGGAAATTTGTATGCTCACATATGCATATTGTATATGTGTAGAAATGTAATCACACTTTGTCTTGGATTTACATTAAACTGTTAAGTCACGGCATCAGTCTTGTATTTTCATGCTGTCGTTGTGAGTTTCTTTCTTGTGTTTAATGCAGAGAATTTTTTTTATGTTCTTGTTGCCTCACGTTCAAGTGCACCAAACATTAAAAAGCTACACATTTAACCACAAAAGACAGGAAAACCAACAATAAAAATGAATATAGTGAAACAAATCTTATTTCCCTTTACTGAATATACTAATAAATGACAGATTGGCAAGAATGCAGGCAGCAAACATTCACAGTCAAAATGTAAATACTAAATATTTTTCTACAATGTTTCGAGACCTCAGAAAGCATCTGACCCCTGATTTTTGTTGATTGCTGTAAGTTTCTTTTTCAGTACTTTGTATCACAAAGCTAGTGTGATGCAGTATTTCAAGGTATACTTCTTTTTTTATTGTCCTTTCTTTTTCCTATTTCAATATTTTTATTGTGTTTTTTTTCCAGATAATTTACAAACTCATAAATGTATATGAAAAAACAGAAGTCCTGTTAGCAAAGAGATGCCATCAAATATATAGCAACAACAAAAACAAGAAAACTGTAGAACTCTTAAATCAAACCTAAACATTTCTCACCCTTTCAAAGCAACATCCTTCGCTATTTTCTGAGGCCTTCTAGAAGTATGCAAAGATTAATCAAGACACTGATAAATAAATAAACAAATAATAATAAAAGTAAATAAATAAACAGGCAGATATAATAGATATATGGGTAAAAATAGAAGAAGAAAATGTAAAGTGAATACTAAAAGTCTCTTTCTCCATTTTGAAAATCTAGTCAGCAGGTTCTGAAATGTTAAGGTTCTCAATGACAGACAGTATGGGACTATAATTTGTTAAATAAATTTGTACTTTTTAAAATTATAATTATTATAATTTTGCTTTTTTTATTGGGGATTTGAAGCATGGTGTCTAATTATTTCAATCTGTTAACAAAAACTAAAACTAATAAACGAAATGGTGCTAAATTTTAACACTACAATTAAAGTTCATTCATTTATTCATTCATTTTCTTTTCGGCTTAGTCCCTTAATTAATCTGGGGTTGCTACAGCGGAATGAACCACCAATTTATCCAGCATATGTTTTACGCAGCGGATGCCCTTCCAGCTGCAACCCATCACTGAGAAACAACCATACACACTCATTCACACACACTACGGACAATTTCATTCATTAATTTTCTTTTCGGCTTAATCCCTTTATTAATTTGGGGTTGCCACAGTGGAATGAACCGCCAACTTATTCAGCATATGTTTTATGCAGCAGATGCCCTTCCAGCTGCAACCTATCTCTGGGAAACATCCCTACACACTCATACACCACGGATAATTTAGCTTACCCAATACACTTATACTGCATGTTTTTGGACTTGTGGGGGAAACCAGAGCACCCGAAGGAAACCCACACGAACGCTGGGAGAACATGCAAACTCCACACAGAAAT